AGTTTTCTTTCTGAAGTCTAATTCTAAAATTAATTTAAAGGGAACAAGAACCCAAAGAGTCAATGAATTCAAAGTTGTATGACTGACATTCTTGGTTTCAAAGCTTGTTCTAAAGCTACAGAAATAAAGAGAATGTGATGTCAGAAATCAATCCCTACATAAATGTTCAACTGATTTCCCGTGAAATGGAAATGCCAATTTGCTTCAGGGTGGAAAAGACTTTTCAGCTATGTTACTAGGAGACGTGGGGGATGGGCCCTTGAGTCAGACCATGCAGAATTCTAGCTTGAAAAGGATCTCAAGGCTTAATGTCATATTTAATACTAGTACATACCTAGAGAAAAGGGAGATCTTTATGCTTTATGGGTAGGCAAAGATTTACTAGTTAAAATATATAAAACATTATCAATAAAAGAAAGAAAATTGTTAAATGATATTTCATCAAAATTTAAAACCTGTTTGAAGCACATTATTAGAAAACAGAAAAACACACAAATGAATAGGAGAGATATTTTTGTTTGTATTTTTATTTTTCGAGACAGGGTTTCTCTGTAGCTTTGGAGCCTGTCCTGGAACTAGCTCTTGTAGGCCAAGCTGGCCTCCAACTCACAGAGATCTGCCTGCCTCTGCCTCCCGAGTACCTAGATTAAGGGTGTGTGCCACCACCGCCCAGCTGAACAGGAGAGATTATATGCAAAACAAATAGCTGATGAAAGATTTGTATACATAAGAATTTAGTTGCCCAAGCTCAAGAAGATAACACAGGAGGGAAAGATGGATAAAGTACATAAATACTTTACAAGAGGAATTCTATGACTGGCCAGACCACACATAAAAAGATGTCTGTTACTCACTGTGTATGTTAGTCCTGCCTATTGGTTCTGTCAGGCTGATGGTTTGCCAAGCTGAGTCCTTGCTGACTTCAGAAGGTCTTGTCCCCTGGTCTAGTTAAGTACCTAAGAATATAGTAGCAAAATAAGAACCCATACAGGAGGTGGGTGGGGTTCACATGCTGATGTATGCTATGATGTATTGCTATGCCTGTGAACCATGCTCACAGATGAACACTGAGTATAATTGATTGTCTTTTTAATGGCAGCTATCTGATCTATTGACCTTGCAATGTGCCTAACTGCTAATAAATCCATTTTAAAGTACAGAGAAATTCAAGTTAGACGTGCAGTGACATGCCATTACACACATCAGCACAGATAAAATTTTTAAAAGATGGGGCTATCAAATGTCAGGTCAGAGAACAGCTGGAAGCTTCAAAGCTTGCTGGTGAGACTGTTAATTGATGCAAAGCCACTTGGCCATTTCTCATAAGGTGAAAGATACACTTATCAGAACACCGGCAACTCCACTATTAAGTATTTACTCAGGAGAAACTAAAATACACAACCACACAAGCACTTCTCCACAAAGTGATCAGGATAGCAGCCAATCAAATAGCATCCAGGAGGGTGGAAATGTATATGGCATCTCCACAGCCATATGCAATCTACATGAGTGGAATCCCACTAACAGAAACACAGCAATTACTGAAAAATGCAAAGACAGGGATGAATTGTGCTAAGCAAAAGTCAGCCCAAACCCTATAATCTGTAAAGATACCGTTTCTATGAAATTCTACAACGAATCAATTTAATCTTTGTTGACAGAATATTGGTATTATCCTGCTCCTGGTGGAAGTGAAGAATAGCTGAGAAGTACTGTCCTTGACACAGACTCGGGGACAACCTGAGCGGGATGAGAAAAGCATGCTATCTGTGTGAGTATAGAAAAGTGCCAAGGTTCAAATCGAGACAAAGAAATGAGTGTATTTCATTATACGGAAACCATACCTCAGAAAGTTGAATTTTAGAAAACACTATCTCTGAAATAAAATGAGCTTTTATGTCAGTTTTATTATTCTTTTACATGTGGGATAATAGGTTTAACTGTTCTGAAAGTATTATAAAGGAAAAATACTGCAATTACTAAGATGGTTTCCTGTTAAGGCACCGTTAGCAATGCCACTTTATGCGCATGTAAGGGCTCCATCTCTGGGTTCTGCGTTAACGTATGTGTATAAACACCACTTTATGGGAGTGGCTGCACCTCACAAAACCCTTTTTTTATACCGTGGAACTGTTAAATCTGACATACATACTCTGCTCGTCATCACTTCCGAGCCTTTTTTGCTCCTCAGATATAACACGAAACCTGTGAGCTGGAATCTAGTGTCTGGACAGACATCTGCCTTGCATCCCCAAGAAGAGGACCAGGAACTCTGAGAAGCTGGACTGGGGCTGGGGAAAAAAATGTCTCTGTTTCTTCTAGTTTTTAGGGGACTGGGGAGATAAAATGGGACCGCTAGATGGCTACGACTCGTTATAGTCGTTATATGGGTGAAATGAGAGCAAATTAATCAGCATTCAAGGGGAGTGGATGGCAAGAGGAGATGGATAGTGATGCCATCTTAGCACAAGTCAGATTAAACCTGTACAACTGTCAACGCACATTAACCTCCCCACTGCCTCCAGGAGCGCTTCAAGTGGGCTCCTACTTTCTCTAGACAAACAGTGGTTATTTTTCTGTTACTACCTTGGCAAAATTCTGGAGATGGCCTGATGCCTTACCCCTAGTGATTAATTCAAAATTTCACATTATACTTGCCCTGCTAATGAGAGAAGGCCTGCATTGTGGCAAACACCTCCAAACTGCAGCCCCAAGATGGTGTGCAAGTAAGGCAGTAATCAGATGCGCGTCACTCACAAACACTTGGGCCTCAGTGAGCTCTGTGGAGTCGCTGTAGGAGAAGCACAAATACAGCTGGGATTTCTAATCTAAAAGGAACACAAAGTAATATTCTGTCCAAAACCACATTTAGATGTCAGTTTCTGATAATTCACAATGGCATCACGTTGAGTTCTTTATCCTGTGATGAATCGAGAAATAACGCTGTATTGACGAAAAAGGCTGGCCCTTGTTTTGTTACCTTTCTTGCTGCTGAGATGAAGGGCCTGGCAGAGACACTTCAGGTAAGGAATGAACGCTCTTGACTCACAGCCTAGGCGGTGTCTGTTCATCACAGCAGGGGAGTAGAGAAGCCGGCAGGCAGTTCCGTGTAGGCAGGTCAGGGAGGGGGCGGAGTATGTCAGGCTCCGCCAACTTTGTCCTTCCCCATTTGTTCAATCAAAGCCCCCTGGGAAGGTGCCACCCACATTCTGAGTGGATTTTTCTCCCCCAAACTAAAACCTCCTCCAGAAATGTCCTCACAGACACAGGCATACCATACCTCAGCAATTCCCTAGGTGATTCCAAATCCAGCCAAGTCAACAGTGAGAATGAGCCATCATCATATTCCTGAGTTGAAAACTAAAGGATTAAATAGTTGGTGGTATCTGAATCTGATTTAACTCTTCCTCAGGTGAAGCACTTCTCTCTGACATATGCCATGGGATCTCTGGTATGTTGTTGCCCCTCTCCTTAACGTGGGCGTCTTTACTGGGCAGCCCCTGGTGGGTGTACTACATTTAAAGCGATTTCTAGAAGGTCTGAATAGCCAGAGAGACCAGAGGAGGTCAGCATCTTCCCAAAGTCATAATAAAAAAGAAGCAAAATTAGCGAATTTAAAGTTTACAAAATGAGTTGCAAGGTCCCCTGGCATTTCTGTTAGGATTTAATCTTCAAGCAATATTCTGTTTTTAATTGTTACAAACCCAGTTTGTGGATATTTTGAAGCTTATACATTTGAAGGTAGAAGGATTTTTTTTAAAATGAGGAAACATTATAACACAGATTTGCAAAAGCAAAAGTGATATGTGCCTAGACCAGGAAACAACAACAAATTGTTATATTATTTAATTGGTTATTTTCTTTACATGGGGACTCACTATGTAGCTCAGGCTGAGCTTAAACTCACGATCTTCCAGGAATCTTTGGTTGTACATGCTATTACACCTAACTATAAATCACAGATTGTTGTTATTTTTCATTTTGCTATATGTGCAAGGGTGTTTTGTTTGAATGTATGTCTATATTATCATTTGTATGTCTTATGCATCTGGAGGCCAGAAGAGGGCATTGAATTTCCTAGAACTGGAATTATAGATGGTTTTGCACCCCAGTGTGGGCACAGGGTATCAAATCTCAGTGCTCTTAACGACTGAACCATCTTTCCAGGTCCCCAAATTAAAATTTAAAAAATGCAACAAGCCAATAACTCTTTGTATGTCCCGAGGCCTCTGACAATCTTTCAGCATTTTTTAAGCCTTCACTAGGGAATTTCCTTTTCATTGCATTTAAAGTTTTATAGGATCAATAATCTCAAAACAACATAAAACTAATCTAAGAGAGGAATTAAATTTATCTTTAAATTGCTGTGTATTGCATTGAGTTCTGTAGCTGTTATTGTTAATTCTTGTAGTAATCCACTGAACTTTCATTATTGGCTTGGCCAGGAATTGGACACCCGAGGAACCACGGAAATTGCAGCTGCATCCTGGCGGCTGAGACCCCTTTAAGGTTAAACATCCAGCAAGCTGTAGCCAGGTTCTTGTTGATATACAGTCATGTATATATATCTGGGTATCACTCCCTGGGTCTTGAAAAGGTCCACGCAGAAACGGGGCTGATGTTTAAATTTCTCTCTATTAAATGGACCAATTTATTCTCCCCAGTGCCTGTGTGTGTGTTAAATTAATTATTTATTATATATACAATGTTCTTCCTGCATATATATATATGTACACACATACATACATACATACATACACACACACACACACACACACACACACACGAAGAGAGCACCATGTGAGCCACCATGTGGTTGCCAGAACTGAACTCAGGACCTCTGGAAGAGTACAACCAGTGCTCTTAACCCTGAGTCACCTCTCCAGCACACCTCCAGTATATGTTTTAAGCTTCTAATCCCCCAAGTGACTATATTTGGAGAAAGGACTTTTAATGGGGGTAATTAATGTTCCATGAGGCGCTAGGAGCTATAATCCAACATGACAGGTGTCCTTTAAAAACAAAGTACCAACACACACGGACAAAGGAGACAAACCTGTACAGACAGAGGTGGTGGTCTGTGAGCCACAGAGAGAAGCCTGGCCAGGAAGCGATGCTGCTCTTAACCTTGGACGGCAGCCTCCAGATCTGTGAAAATGGCATCCCTGTTACTCCCGCTGCCCAGTGTTGGCATCTTGTCAGAGAGGCTGTGCAGATCAATACCATGCGACTAAGATTCTTGTTGTGTAGTAATAAACTCAAGGGACTAGTGAAAGAGAATGTCTTTAATATTCAGTTCTGCAGAGCCAGTTGCTAGTGTAGAAGAAGGGCAAAAATGGCTGGAATATTGATTTCTGCGGGATGCTGGCTTCTAAATGGGAAGAAACTCCTGCTTCTGACAGACACAAACTTCACAGTCTCCACACCTGACAAGCACAGTAACCACCTCAAGGTGCCTTATCTGATGAATATCCCCAGGCTGTGACACTTCCTTCTGATTGGAGGGATCAGTCATGTAGCAGCTGCCTGCCCCGGAGAGTCCTGAGACAAGTGGGCGCTGCCTGCCAGCTAAGGTAGAGAGAGGCCTAGAACCTCTTGCTTATCTGTGAGTCTTAATGAGTTCTAAGCATACTGTATTCTGAAAACTAATCATAAATGATTTATTTCTTAGGATGTGAACATACCGTCTCTGACAGCGCCATCTAAATCAAGTTCTTCTCATTATTCTTCCATCTCCTCGTACAGAAAAAAAAAATACACTACTCAGCATTATATATGTATTCCTTCAGGAGGTTAAGAGGCAGTAGAGTATGCAGAGTTCCTTTTGGGTGACAGGATCAAATCCAGATTCTGCTATTTCCCATGGTGCCATCTCATTATGAAAACACGAGTTTCTCCGTCTCTAAAACTGTTGTGATGGAAATGGATAATAAGTATTTCAGGGACCGGGGAGATGGCTCAGTTGGCAAACTGCATGCTGTGTGAGCATGAAAACCAGAGTTCAATCGCTAGAACCCCCCTTTTTTTTTTTCTAATCCAGATGTGATAGTAGATGCTTATAATGCCAGAGCTAAGGAGGCAGAGACCAGTGAATCTCTGGGGTTTGGTGGTCAACCAGCCTCTGGGGTATTAACCAATACACCCCAAGGAAGCAGGAGACCCCGTCTCAAATAAACAAACAAACCCAAAGTGAATGATGCATAAAAAACAATACCCATGGTTGATCTCTGGATGGTGCATAAGAAACAATACCCATGGCTGACCTCTGGCCTCCATACACACTGATAGGCATGGTCAGGGGCACACACACCCTTCCACCATGTACACTGTACACACAAAACAATATAGTTTCCACTTCGAAAGCACTAGAATTAGAATGAAAGAAGTTACCATGTATGTGCAAAGCCTAGATTAGTCCTTGGGACCATGTGACTATTCAGCAGTCTTCTGTTGTTTATCGGCTGTTAGTCCGCGCAAATGTGCAGTGTGGACAGGAACTTTGCCTTGTCCTTAAATGTTGACAGTGCCGAAACCAGGGCTTCTGAAGCACGCGCCAAAGCCAGAATAAATATTTATTACCTTCAAATGTGAATGGCAAAGGCCTGTGGGGCTTCTGTTTAAGTCCACAAAGCAGCGACCGCTCTATTACTTGAAACCTAAATTTCTCCTGATCTCAGAGTCCTTAATTGTGTGTGTACTGAGGAAGTGCTGCCAAGTGATGACACGACTTTAATTGGCATAGGTTAATATGCGAAGTTCAGAGGGCCAGTTAGCAAGAGCCAGAGAAATACAGGTACAAGCAGACTTAACGACTTAACATTGACATTGTGAGAGAATTCCCATTTCAACAATCTTACCACCCACGTAATGAAACTAAACCAATTTCATCGGAAATTGGTGACCTTGATTTCTGTTCCTGATTTTTTTTTAATTGGCTGTGTGGCTGTACGCAATCGGATGTTCTAGCAAACGGTCCACAGTGCTTTGGCACCTTCTGCTGATGAGCTAGAGAAAGTTTCTGGCTCAGGGAGAATCCAAGGCAGATGTCTGGTGGCCTTGGCGCGTGGCTTCTGTAGGTCGGTTAGCCACAGACTCTTGAGCAGCAATCGTTACTAAGAGCCATGGTAGGAGACAGCACAGCAGGAACTAGGAATGCTATCCCAAGTATCAGCTTCTGTAAACTGTGTATGCCATATGTCATGGAAGTCAACAGTGGCAGCACTGGTCACCGAGGAAACCAACAGGACAGTTTAACCCCCCACGAGATCTGCTCCTCTAGCTGCACCAATGTGGATTGGCCCAGTTATACTAATGGTTATTCCTCCACGGAAAAGAAGCCTGTAATGCGGGCACATGCCTTTAATCCCAGCACTTGGGACAAAGAGGCAGGTCTCCGCTAGTTTGAGGCCAGCTTGGTCTACAAAGCAAGTTCCGGGGACAGCCAGAGCTGTTACACAGAGAAACTCTGTCTTGAAAAACAAAAACAAAACAGCAACAACAAAAACAAAACAAAACAAAACAAGAAACAAACAATGACCAAAACCAAAACAACAACAGAAAAGAATGAGCTACTCTCATGCCTGTCTTGAACCCCTTCTTTCTATCAGGTCCTCACGGGCTAGAGATTGACATCTACATGACTCTGTACCTTCCCACCCACCCAAACCTGCCAGTTTGTCTAAGGCCAGGTCTAGCTTTATGTCCTGGCCATCACCATCCTGGGAGCCACACAGGACATTATGGATGAGAGCATGGTCTCTGGATGGAAATCGTGGCTTTGGAATTTACTATACGCAAGTATGGAATGTGCCAAGGCTCTTGGCCTCATTTCTTCAGCCATAAAATGAAATCCTTCTTTATAAGTTTACCATGAAAATTAAAAGAGATCATAAACAAAATGTTCAGCCAGACCTACAGTAGGTACCATTGTTATTAGCGGCACTGGTGAAATTTACTTCTGCCTACTCAATTAGTCACTGAGGGCTGCTCTTTTATCTCTGTCCCCGCCTCCTTTCCCTTCTGCTATCTTCTAGCTCATATCCATTACATTTTGATTTCACACTGAGATAAACTAAGCCACTGTCATTTCATCTACTTTTTAAAGAGTTGCCATTTATTCCTAAAAGAGGAGTCTGTACACATCTAGAATCGAAGACCTTTGGTGGGTCTCCCTTGTCTAAACAGCATTGCCCTAAGCAAGGCCTTCAAGAGTCTGGAAGCTCTGATACCTTTCTTGTTTGTTTTTTGTTTTGTTTTTCTTTTTTTTTTTTTTTTTTGGTGCTGTTGTTTTACTTCAACTCCCAACATGCTCCGTCTTTCTGCCATTGTCAATTCTTTCCCTTCCTCCACAACCCTGTCAGCCTTCTGACTTGTGTTTGTGTGAAGCGGACTGCTTTAGCTATTCAGACTCTAAACAATGCTATCTATCTTTCTCACGACCTCAGCCCAGTCCCCTCACTGGAAATAGTCAGTCCCACCCCAGAGCTTTGCTTCTATGTGGATGGGGCTAATGGTGTTGTCATTCACATTCGCCATCTCTGCCCACACTCAATTAAGTCTAGGCATCCAGGCAAGCCTTGCCGAATGGACTGAAACAGAGCCGCCTTTTAGCAGCTGCCTGACATTGCCCGGGTATGTCTCCAGCTCAGGGAGCTTCTTTGAAGACTGACACTTTACAAATCAGCATCCTGGTCCAGCTGAAAGAGCACCAAAGAGCCATCTCGACCGAAAGCACGCAAGAATCCCAACAGCAACATCTCTCTGTGGAAAGAAGGAAATAAAGTTCAATGAATGCAGGCTCAATACTGGTGTTCTAAAACCTTCCTTCTTTGTCTGATGCAGACAGAGATGCTGTCAACTGTCATCTGCTTGGGAATGACCCTCTCCAGTTGAATTTTTACTGAGGGGGCAGATTTCAAAGCTGGGACTGTGCGGCCACGGAAAGTCCCAGACAGAAGAATGTAGGTGGTTCTGAAAGTGCTGTGTCATGGACTCCATCAGCTGCCTACCAGCAGTGACCTAAGGAGTGGGACAGAGAGAGGATATAAGCCAGGAATGATGCCCCAAACATGGCTGTCCATCTCCCTCAAACGTTTGCAAATTCTGTAGAGATCCTTTGAATCAAGAAGCGAGTCTTTTAATCAGCCCTAGTAGTTCAACATCTCTGGTAATTCGCCACTCATCTGGCACAAAGGAACTTAATGGTAGTCAACCACTGAGGGAACCTTGACATTTGCAGTTGACTTCCTTTATTATTCCAGAGGAGTTGTCATAACACCCATGTATCCTGCATTCAGGGCCAAGACAAGTACGAGGGGACAGCACCCCTGGGTGTGAGCTCCAGCAGCCAGGAAAAGGCCTGGCCACCATCCACACCACCACTCACCCTACTGGCTTCCTAGACGACAAAGGGGAGGGGCTGTGACCTCTGCTTTGTATACCTAGCTTCCAGACCAAAGGTCAGCTGCTAGTAGAGTTAAGTGATTGTTAAATAAGTGAACAAATCAATGCCCTTTCCAGGGAAGTGCTCAGAGAGGGACCATCCAGGCAGTTTAGCATGAGGGAAATATGTTTTTCCTTTCCCAGCGTTTGTTACATTAACTAGGTGCATTATTAGGATGACTATTCTGTCATATTTAGCTCTGAAATTTAGGAAATGGAGTAAAAGTTTTTTCTGTGTCTGGGACTATATAGGAGGAACAAACACATAGCAAGATTTGCTGAAGTCAGACACTGAATCTCAGCTTGTCAGAGCCATCCCAATTTCTGCTGGGAGATAGGTATCTCAGGGATAGCTTGGGAGACTTACTCTTCAGTTTCTCTATACCCTGGAGCTGAGTTACAGAGTAACCCGAAAACAATGCTCCAGAATTCACCCCACTAATAAACCAGAGCAAAGTTCACAACAAGTTCCATGGATAGAAGTGTGGAGCAAAGGCCAGAGCTCCAGGCAAGGGCTACCACAGAGCAGGGACAGTCACCTGTCTTGAGAGAGGATCTCTTCGTCAGCCCCAGCTGTGGCAGGCCATGAGCTCTGTGCTATCCATCGTCTTGCAGGAACTCCCAGGCCCGTTCCTAGTCCTGGGGATCTTCCTGCCTGTGACTTTGCTGCTTTTCCTCCTGATTGCCTACTTCAGGATCAAATTGATGGAGGGTAAGTGTGAAGCCCCACAAAGAAAGGATCATTCTTAAAACACACCAAAGCTCTGAGAAGCTGGGGAAACTTATCTTTTTGATTGACAGATATTCTCTCCCCCCAGCCCTCCCTTAATATCCTATCTCTGATGAACCAAAGTTTGATACTTTCAACTCTGTGGGTGGTAAGGTAGGTAGGGTTTGACCACTTGTTATAGGGACTTCTTCTTTGTAGTTCCTGGAAGACAGACAACTGTGAACCAGCAAACTAGACAGGGGGTTGCTAGTTTATCTCTTAAGGCAACACATTCATAAGCATTTCGCTGTTCATGGTCTGTGTCTTCTATGTGTCAGATGTATATGTGTGTCATAGTGCTTGCAAAGACTACTGTCAGTTACATATACGCTGGGTTCCCATGGACACTGAGTGCCCCTGGGATAAGTTTGTTGTAATAGGAATGGCGGTCTGTGTCCCACCACCCGACTAGCTTTACCCAAAGTAATTACATGGAAACGGTATTCTTTTAAACACTGCCTGGCCCATTAGTTCCAGCCTCTTATTGCTAGCTAGCTCTTACATATTGATCTAACCCATTTCTAATAATCTGTGTAGCCCATGAGGTGGCTTACCAGGGAAGATCTTAACCTGCATCTGTCTGGAGTGGGAGAATCATGGCGATTCTCTGACACGGCTTCTTTCTCCCAGCATTCTGTTCTGTTTACTCCGCCTATCTAAATTCTACCCTATCAGAGGGCCAAGCAGTCTTCTTTATTACTTAACCAATGAAAGCAACAGATAAGATACAACACCCACCTCCACCATAAGTTAAAGGCTTTGGATGTCAGAGCTAGGAACATGTGTCCATTGTATCATTCTCAAGTCTCACCTCTACTGCTTCTTTGACAAGGTAAACTTCCACAACCTCAGAAACGTATCAACCATGAAATGAGACATAGAGCAGGTCAACACAGTCTCACAGTATGTACACACTCATGTGTGTGTGTGTGTGTATGTGTGTGAGTATGTACATATATTCACATAAGTAAGTATATACACGATATATATATATACACACACTACACACACACATGATTGTGTGCATATGCACATAACATCCTCAGCCACCGAACTTCTTAAGAAATGTTCCAAGCAATTTGCTATCAGTGTTTAGCCAATGCAAACTGCTAGATACCAGACTGGAGCAGAAACTTCCCAGAATACTATAGTCTTGTTGTATTTTTAAAAAAGACAAAATATATTCAGAAGCTTACAGTGATCTTCCATTGGCATGTACGTTCTGGATTAAGCTGGTGTTACAGAAATCAAAAGAGCTGGACCATGTTTGAGAGGCTACTTTTTGATTTGGTTTTCAGTAAATATTAGAAATCTTAATGGGCTCATTTTATTAATGCCTGCCTCTTAATTTGGAGAGTTTCATATTAAACTACTGAAAAAGCACATTTGAGAGCTAGCCAGGGTTGTGCGCAACAACCTAGCACTCTGGAAACTGAGGCAGAAGGTTTGCTTAAATTTGAGCAAGCCTGGGTTACAGGGTGAGAGCCTGTCTTAAAACACACGCATTTAATCCCAGCACTCAAGAAGCAGAGGCAGGTGAATCTCTTGAACTGGAGGCTAGCATGGTCTATAGAGCGTGTTACAGGACAGTTACAGAAAAACCCCGTCTTGAAAAAACAAAAACAAATGGAAAGTCCCTGCTCTTCTACAAAAACTTGCCAAGTTCAAGCAATGCCTTCCTGTACGCTATTAAGCAATTACAAATAACTGGTGCCAGCAGCAGAACAAATAGGGACACTTGTGTCTAAGATGATACTTGGAACACAGAGAACATAGATTGCATTTCAGAATGCTGCTTCCCATCAGAACCTACTGGAGAACCCTGTAGCTGTGTTTTTTAACCTTTCTAATGCTGCAACCCTTTAGTACAATTCCTCATGTTGTGGTGACCCCAGCCATAAAACTGTTTTCGTTGCTACTTCATAACTGTAATTTTGCCAATGTTATGAATTGTATATAGCTGTGCTTTTCTGATGGCCTTAGGTGACCCCTATGAAAAGGTCGTGTCCCAGAGGTTGAGAACCACAGCTGTAGCCTTTCATTTTCTGCCTCATTTTTACAAACAGCTCTCATTCAGGGTGATTAAGGGATATTGCACCATGCTCTACATGAAGGACCCATGTGATAATTTTTATTTTTGCTTTTTTTTTTGAGATAGGGTTTTTCTGTGTAACAGCCCTAGCTGTCCCAGAACTAGCTCTTGTAGACCAGGCTGGCCTCGAACACACAGAGATCCGCCTGCCTCTGCCTCCCAAGTGCTGGGATTAAAGGCATGCACCACTACCACCTGGCAAGCCTTTTCTTTATGAAGTGAGTCACACTGTTTACTATCCCCAAGATCAGTCTTCTGGAAATTCTGCACCCAGATATTTATGATACTCCAAAACTAGGAAGGAACTGAAAATCAAGACTCGCAAACATTCGCAGCAGGGTTCCTTCAGGCTTGCCCATTGGCTCACTGCCCAGGAGTGCAAACATTTCCCGATGGAAGATCCTTCACAGTCATGAACTGACCAATGTCAATAACAGATACCAGGGTTCCCACTAATACTGGGAAGTAGAAGTGGGTGTCAGTCAAGGACTTAAGTTCTTCACATACTTAAGTTTTATCTCCAGTTGCTTCTTTAGCAAGATGAAATCTATAGTGTATCAAAAATGCATCAGGCACAAAATAAGGCGAAAAGGTCAGAAGAGTTTCTTGGATTTCAGTCTCTCCACAGCCTCTGCTCAATAGTTATGGTAAATTGAATGATCCTGTGGGACATTTGGTAAGTGGCAGAGTCTACAAAAAGAAAACAGCTTTTTTTTTTTTTAAATATCTTTTCTTATTCCTGGGAAAATATAACATGAAAAACATAACAGAGTACCCAGTGTTTTATGTAAGCATTTAGATATTTCTGAGGTCTAAGCAAATCAAACTCCTTCAAAACACCCCGGAAAAGCCAACCTGCAGTTGGAAGTGTGACCAGGCATCCCTGAAGACCGGGACAGGGCCAATGCAAACAAGGGGTTTGCTTAGTTAGGGTTTCACTGCTGTGAGGAAACATCAGGTCCAAAAGCAACTTGGAGAGGAGTTTATCTGGCTTAATATCCTGAAAGCAGGAACTAAAACCGGGTAGGAATCTAGGGGCAGGAGCTGATGCAGAGGCTATGGAGAGGTGTTGCTAACTGGCTTGTTCCTATATTCTTATAAAACCGAGGGCCACCAGCCCAGGGGTGGCACTGTCCACAATGGGCTGAACCCTCCTACACCAATCACTAATTAAGAAAATACCCTACAGGTTTCCTACAGCTAATCTTCTAGGAGCATTTTCTCGATTGAGGTTCCCTTCTCTCAGATGACACCAGCTTTAAAAAAAAAAAATAGCCAGGACAGTGCCGCTATCCACACTGATTGGTGTAGAACCGCCCAATGTACACCTATCACTGTGACTCTTGCATAATGACCTCCATCTGTCCTCAGCATATCACTACCTAAGTAATCTGTCTGGAGTTCAAGTCACAATAAAACCATATGACAATATTTGTAGCTCAGCAGCCCCAGAAGTGATGCTGAAGCATGCACATGAAGGGAACAGAATAACTAGTATACTTTGTCCTTTCTCCGCTCACCCCTCCAAATGACAGGATATACTAGGGAGCTTGTCCTAACTCCTAGGTTTTTCTCACGCTATGGGTCGGCTCCTTCCCTCTCAAAACACTTTGCGCTTTGTAGCATAAGACTGAATGCGGAGGGCAGTAACACTGGGAGCCTCACATGATGGGGGGGAGTCTGTGGGTGACATCCTTTAAACTCCTTAAAGCTTGCTATCTACCTCTAAAGTGCATTCTACCTCTAGACGGCCACCAGCCATCAGTCATTCAACAGATATTTGTGAATCTACTTGAGCATTTTCCCATTCTTATGACTGAACACCACAGACTTATTTTTAAACAACAAAACCTATTTCTTACAGTTCTGAAGACTGGGAAACCCAAAGTCAAGTGGCCCCATCCGGAGAGGTTCCACTTGCTAGTAGAGAATCTATGGTCTAAGGCAGCACACAGTAAGAGGGATGTAACTAAAAGACAGACACAGGGCTTCTCTGTGTAGGTTTGGCTGTCCTGGAACTGGCCCTGAAGAACAGGCTGGCCTTGAACTCACAGAGATCCATCTGCCTCTGCCTCCTGAGTGTTGGGATTAAAGGTGTGCTCCACCAACCCCTTGACTCATAGTTCTGCTCTTAAAGGCCTCATCTGGGCCTAGAGCTTTAGAAATCACAATGAGCATTAAGTTTCAGTGTGAGCTTTGCTGGCAAATCAAATTCCAGTACTACTATATACTATGGCTTGTCCTAGGCATATAGACTTTTGGGACCAAGAGGAAACAGTCTTCCATTTATCAAGCTACGAAATGCATCAGAAAAAAATTAATCCAACATCAGATATGCAAATCCATATTTTTATTTTCTGATCTTGGCCTCAGACCAAGTTAAGAATAAACTCTGCCCTTGAACCTAGCCAAGGCTGAATCCTGACCTTTCATTTTAAGTCTTTTCCAAAATGTCAAAGCTGAGACCTCTCACCAGGCAGGATCTTCTAAATACCTAAGGGATACCCCAGTGATGAAATAAGCCACCTTCCCATTTTCACCCTCTATTGTTGGCTCTCAATGAAGTAAGTACATCCAGGCTGTAGGCAGGAAACCCAGGAGTATGGGAAGCACCATTTACTTCAGTGTAACAACTCCATGCATCAGGCAGTTAAAACAAAGGAGGTCTCATCTGCGGCTTATTGCTTGAAAACTGTAGCTTTTTCTGTAGTCATTTCTAAAGGTGTGTAGTATTGCTCCCTCTCCAGAAGGCAAACGAGATCCCTTGGCCCCAAATTAAAACATCACCAGTTTTATCCATCTAACAGCATCCATTTAAAAATTTTAAACATATGGACAAATGTCATATAGTTAATCTTCTACCCAGGGCTACAGCAAAATATAATCATTTCTAGTTTGTTTCTGTAAAGAGAAGGACATTGACATATTCACAGAACCCCAGAGTCCTACACTCCAAAACAGAACACCAGCTTGTGTGCTTCATATATCCTAAGGTTAGACAGAGCATCATTTTGAGATGTGATGGGTAGTGAGTGGAGGTAATGTCATCACTCAACATTAATCCCTACTCTTCAAGCCTTGAAGGTAATCATGCATGGAAATTTAATTAGTATGTAGAGAACATCAATTTTTCTCACAAAGGAAGAAAGAAATTCTCTAACATCCTGCACACTTTAGTTTGTCATTTGCCTTGAGAAACAGCTCTTGGGGAGGAGGGCTGAGTCTTAAAACGTTCTAGAAATAGCCAGACCCTCTATCATCAGTGCCATGAACATTTATCATCCCCTAGGGTGCAGGTTGTGATCTTCATTTCTCTTCAGTATTCCAAAATCACCACATCTAGTACCACCACCTTCCAAAGCATCAAGAACAAACTGTGCTCTAAAACAACCAATAGTACAAAAGCAGTCACTTTATTAAAGAGTACCTGCTGAATGCCCAAACATTTAGTTATAGAATAAGTAAAGCTAATTAGCATTTGAATCTGGAACACAGTGTCTCTACATAATCTAAAACTTCAAGCCTCCTCACCTTTAAGATAGAAATAACAGCAGCAGGGGTTAGTGTGAGTAATGAGCTGCTAGAGAATGTAGCTGATTTTTTTTTTGTTTTTTACTCTTTGGGGGCCCACCGCCAAGCTCCCAGATAAATATGTGGGGACTTGTTCTTATTTATGAATGCCCAGTCTTAGCTTGGCTTGTTTCTAGTCAGCTTTACTAACTTAAATTATTCCGTTTCTCTTTAATTTGCCTCTGGCTTTCCACCTTAATTTATTCTATGTATCTTTCTTTTCTTCTTATTCCATGGCTTGCTATGTGAGCCCTGATGTCTTCCTCTTTTCCTTTTCTCTCTCCTTCTTCCCTGGATTTCTCCTCCTATTTACTCTCCCTGCCTCCCAGCCCCACCTATCCTTTCTTTTGCCTTGCTATTGGCCATTCAGCTCTTTATTAGACCACTCAGGTGTTTTAGGCAGGCAAACTAGCACAGCTTTATAGTGTTAAACAAATGCAACATAAAAGAAGGCAACACATCTTTACATCATTAAACAAATATTCCACAGCCTAATCAATGTAACACATCTTAAACTAATATTCCACAACAACACAGGGATTCCAAACAATCCCCATGCTGGAAAATGGTAAACCGTTATTACTCCCGCTGGCTTATAAATCCCAAGAAATCACCATTTGTGTCATTATATGCATCATTAAAATTGCCTTAGAATAATTAAGACACCCTAGGTGACACACCTGGACGGCAGGAGACAAGATAGGAAACCTGGCTGTCTGGCTCCACAGCTAGCTTTCTTAGCCCACACAACACCAGGCAGGTTTCCTATCAACTAATTTTTTGTTTGTTTTTTGACCCAGGCAAATAAACTCACTACCAAGTTGAAAGACAACTGCAGAAAATCTATGAACAAGGGAAGAATGTTTGCAAAAACTTTGGATGGGTTGGTCTCTTAATATAGCTCAGGGCATGTCCTCATTTGAGAATATGGAGCAGCCCCTAAGCATCCAAGATAGGTAGGAAATGTTCCCTAGGTGCATGGTAAAGGACTGATGGAATAGATTGAGGTAGATACCAAGAATACTGTCAAGGCCAATTTCGTAAGCATTCTATTAGTTAAGTGATGTTGGTGGCTATGAGAGGGGTGGAGTGCTGTTTGGTGTACCAGGAACATATACGATTATATATTAAGATCTCAACAGAGATTTCAAGGTTAAAAACAAATCTGGTTCCTGACATACTAGTTGAATACAGGAGCAGGGAGAAGGCCGTATGCAAAGCAAGCAGGTGGGAGTCGACAATGATGAGAGTAGGTCGGTAAGGCTATGTTAATGCTACCAAGAGGAAACTGGGGACTGGGGAATGCCAGTAGGTTTAGTAAACTGGTGTAAGTAGGATGCCACTTAAGACTTTTAATATTTTAGCAGAGCAGTTTTTATCTAAATGCTTTTGAGAGATTAAGAAATACATAGGCTCTGAAAAGTTGAAAGATTCCAAAAGCCTAATGTTCAAAGGGAAACTCAATAAGTTGACTTGTTTAAGGGTCACACATACCCAAGTATATTTTGGGAAAGGAGAAAGGACAGAAATCTTGATTCTCTAATTCCTATATTGGCCTACACACATTTAATAGTTTCCCGAATATGACAATCTAAACATCTACTAAACAGGATACTTACATGTTAATGATCTTTAATACATTGGTCATCTGTCCTAACCAGGAACATTCATTTGAAGTAGTTGAGGAGGGCCAAAGATGGTTCAGTGGGTAAAGGTGTTTGCTGTCAAGCCTGATGACCTGAGATTGATCCCTAACACCCAGACAATGGAGGGTGAGACTAATCCAAGCTCCCCTCTGATCTCCACGTGATGTGCCATGTTCATGACTACACATACAGAGAGAGAATATTCAAGTTTTTTTGTTTTGTTTTATTTTTTTTTTAATTTTTTTAAAGGAAGCTGAAGAGGTCAGGTCCCACCGTAGAGACCCATATAGCCCAGAGGGTTACCAGTCAGAAACACTGACCAATAGCTTCTAGCAGGTTGTCTACAAATTAACCAATATCCTCTTTCAGTTGATGAAGAACTGTCTCAAATTTCTGATCGCCAAAACAAGTACAGTCCTTCCCTATACAGGCGGATGAGACGAAGATGACTGTGGGGATCATTCACTGGACAAAGAACCATGAATTTCACAGGCCACAGAACAGTGGTCAACAGATCCATGGGGAAATGAGAACAATGGATACATCAGCTACTACTAGAGGACTTCTGTGTGATCTTCAGAAAGTACCAAGGACTTAAAATTTTCTTTCATATGCTCAATGCATGAGGCATATCTTGAGTTTCTTTTGTTATGACTGTGTTTATTTACTTGGAAGAGTGTTTTTAAAATAAAATTTGTAGACCTAATCATATTACTCTTTGAAAGCTCACATAATTTTCTCTTTAAAAGTAAGGAAAGGCTGAGAGAAATTAAATGGTGCTGTGGGAACTCCTTCAGCCAATATAGCCTTTAAGATACCTGCCCACTATGGGAGTGGTCTCATGTACTATAAATGCAGATGAAAAGCGGCACCAGCCTCTTGGCTGCTGGATTCCTCCTGTTCCCATGGCACACAGAGGACTGTGGATCACTCTTCTTTCTGTGAGTTTATCCTCAGATGAATAAACCTTTGTTATACTCCATTCCAGGCTATTATGGAACTCTTTTGTACGCCAACAAAATAGCAAAAGATGGTGCCTGGAGGAAGCCCTATGGACGCTTTACACCAGAGTCCTTCCATTTGGCCCTCTAGTCAGTCTGAAACATGGCAGTTTCAAACAGCATTCAAGACCTTTGTGTCTCTTCCTTTCCCAACTGCTTCATCTCTGTGGCGAGCTGCAACAAAGAAGTGGAGTCTCAATATTAGGTATGGGTTACTTACCAACATAGTTCTCTGTATGGTGGAGCTATTAAGTGGTACCAGGGAAAGGAAGAGAGGACAAATGCTCTTCTAATACCACAGGAGAATAATTCAAGTTTGTTTAAGTAAAACCCAAACGCCAGGGGACTGTTTCTAAATTGAAAGTCAGCATTTTACTAGCCAAATTCTTATCATTCATTGGGCTCTAAAGAACATAGATTGAAAAAGAAGCATTTAATAATGGAAAAAGAAGCATTTAATTCAAGGAGAAAGTTAAAACAGATTATGCTCACTACTATGTTCGCCAACCCGTTCTAGTTAATAGCAACAAAATGTTTAGTACACCCTATCCCTGGCTATTTTCTAACCTTTGCACATGACTCCATTGTGCTTTGAGTAGTTTACTTAAGAAACAGCCAGTGTGTGAGTGTGTGTGTGTGTGTTTAAATGCATCAATTTTGGCAGTGACAGTCATACAAGCATACAATTTTAATGATCAAAAGTCAGAACGTTCCATTGTGGCCTGATAATTTCCTGACTCTTCCTTTAGGCCCCACCCTGAAATTCTTCTCAGGCATCCAGTGAGTTTACTGGTGGCACTTCCATTTTAATAGTGTTGGGAGCTACTGGGAGCTGCAGACCCAGACCCTGAATTTTCTGTAAACAATTTGTTTTCCTTTGCTCTGAGCAGGCTGCAGCTGCTCTGAACATGAGACCCTGATAGCAGGAGAGTGGGTTCTGATGGGTCTGCAGCTGAAAGATCTCGAGAGCTGGGGCATAGCCAGAGCCCTATATAAGTTGCCCCTGAGGTCAATAAAGTTGGCATTTTTGTATCAAGAATGACCCATGTCTCCGCCTGTCTGTGAGTCTTTAATTCTCAGGCTGGTTCCCAATTCGTGCAACCAATCCCGTAGTGACACGGGAGCTACAGAACTGTTTTAGGTTTTTATATAATAGCACTCAATTATATCAAGAATATCTGTTGGGTCTTTCGAAGTTGGGTAGTTCCTAAGTGCTAATGCCATATGGAAGAAATAACACTATTCCTTCAGTTCTGGGAAGGATCTCTTTTTAGCCCCTGGTGGAAGCAGTTTGTGTAAAAATGCTTTCTTCAACAGGAGGTGTGAAAAGGACACAGCAGAGTCCCATCTTGGGCAGCTGCCAGCCAAATGTGTGGCTCAGACATCACAGTTGCTCCCTCTTCTTCCAGAAACAGAACGTCTGAAGCCCGAGCTTTGGCTTTGAAGGATGCTTGAGCAAGAGGTGCCAGGATTATAGGCACAATTCACCATACCCAGCTTTACACCTGTTCTAGTTTTTCATCTTTTTTGTTCTTGTTGTTTTTAATTGAATTAGTAACTTGGCAGTTTAATATTGCCCAAGATGATGCTTCAAAGGCTTCCAGAAGTGGAATGTTAGTCCATGGCCACTCCACATCCTGAACCTAGCCGGTAAGACAGAAAATTAGGCATAGAGGAGTACAGTACATGAAACGGTATTTGTAATCTCTTACCCACAATATAAAAGTTAATCCTTCCAAAGATTTCAGTGCTTTCAGGTAGCAACAAGAAAGTCAACTACAGAATTTTCCCGAAATCTCAAGTTCTCTGGCAAAAGTAAACCTTAGAAATCAGAATTCATACCTTATAACTGCCAGAATTTGGAACTGTTAAACGCATTTCAGATTAAAAATTTCAAAGCATGCTCTAAGATGCTATGGTTTGAATCTGCAATGTCCCCCACAGGTTCATGTGTTGTGCACTTGGCCCCCTCATTTCATTTTGAAACTATGGGTAGAGCCATTAGGAGGTGGGCTGTGGTTGGCAGAAATGGAACATTATGGCTGGGGTCGTGAAAGTTACACCTGTCCAAGGTCCTGCCCTAATAGGGAAATCTTTGTCAACCAATTATCTTTAAGAGGTGGGACCAAGTTAGGGTGTGGCTTTCTGGGTACCGGGCAGCCCAAAGTTTGTTCTCTCTGTGGTTCCCACTCTACACTGCTGAGCTTGGACTTCTTCCTTCCTGTTTCATGAGTTTGCCCTTATAATAAAGAAAAATATAATGGATCTATCTTTCAGTTAGCCTGTCTTTTTCTCAAGCCGAGATAATTCCACACTGCCCTGAATGCCTTGCTTCTTTTTTGTGCATTAAGAGATGAATGCCACACAAGCCTGCCTGTGATCTGCTCCCCTATGCTTGCCTCACTGTGACGGACTGTAACCCTCTGAACTAGTAAGACAAAATAAACTTCCTCCTTTAGATTCTGAGTTACCAGTGTCAGGTTACAGTGCAGATCCTACTGTGAATGACCTAAAAGTGACTGGGGCAGGAAGCAAACACTCGTAAGGATTTTTATTTTAATTAATAAGATTAAGGATTTAAAAATATTTCTTTCTACTTAAAAACTTCTAATCTGTTTCTTGAAACTCTTGGATCTGCTTTCCTACTTACTCTGCCATTTGGTCCAGTTTACAAGTGAGATTAAGACATTCTGAAAACCCCTTTGTCAGAACAGAAGTACAAGGTATTTTTAAAGATGGCTTTTATTGATGTTCCCACCAGGGGTAATCATCAACACTGTTCCGAGCGGCTCTTTGGGCACTATCTCACTAAAATGTTCCAGATTGCTCCAGGACCCCTGTTCATGCTGCCTCAGCAGAATAAGACTGATCTCATGCACTGAGTGCATTGCCTAGTCCACAGGTGCTGTAGAGGCACTTTCCATCATTGGTATTATCAGGAGGTCCGTGTACAGAAGAGTGCTCAGTCCCCATCACAGGAAGGTCAGTAGATGATTTTTATTTTTTTATTTTTATTTTTTTTTGCTTTTTTGAGACAGGGTTTCTCTGTGGTTTTGGAGTCTGTCCTGGAACTAGCTCTTGCAGACCAGGCTGGTCTCGAACTCACAGAGATCCACCTGCCTCTGCCTCCCAAGTGCTGGGATTAAAGGCGTGCGCCACCACCGCCCAGCAGTAGATGATTTTTTTTAATTTATTAAAGATTTCTGTCTCTTCCCCACCTCCGCCTCCCCTTTCCCTCCCCCTCCCCCAACCAAGTCCCCCTCCCTCGTCAGCCCAAAGAGCAATCAGGGTTCTCTGCCCTGTGGGAAGTCCAATGAGATCCCTAATACTAAGTTTTTGATGGAAAATATATGTACAGAAGCACATTTGGTTTCATAATATTCCAAGATTTGGCTAGCTGAGACAGCCTTCTCTGGAGAGTTGTTTCTGTAACAATTGGAAAGAATGTGAGAAAGGCCTTTCACAAGTTGAGACATAATTTAGTAGGAACAGATCTCAAAGAAGACAGCTTTGCAAATTATATTTCCTGTGCTCATTTTAAATGACTACATAAAGAATTCTATATAACATTTCAAAAAGATTGTACTCTGTTGACCATTTTTCTGTGTAAAGTGGTATGTCTTGGTGAGAGCTTCCCAGTAAGCCATTCCAATTACACTTGGATGAAGTCCCTCAGCAAGCTTGCTCCACACGGTGCATGGAGACACAGTGGACATAAAGTAGCACATGGAGCAGAACAGCAAGGCACAAATGGTGCAGCTGAAATCTTCCTGAATGTACACCAATTAAAGGTCAGATCTCCCTTGCAGAATTCAAACAAGTGAGGGGCACCATTTAACGAGGTACAAGGAATCTTTCCACAATGCTTTCACTAGTTCAGATTGCTGATGCTGGCAGCAGCAACAAATTAAAACAAGCAAGCAAACAAACAAACAAAAACAGAGCTTAACCGCTCTTAAAATGCTATTAAGTATTTTTAAAAATACTAGATTTTCTGATGGAAAAGTAGCATTCCAGTTTACTTCTTTGATGTTTCTAAAAAGAAGTGACAAGTTTATAGAATAAACAAAGTTTTATTTTATAACAGTATTACATAAAGCAAAATATCATTTAATACAACTTGATGCTGCTATAAATCTAACCTGGCATCATTAACTATACAGTCAAAAGCAAATGAAAGACATGTTCAATACAGTTAATAAGTCCCTATCAGGTCTCTGGTGTCAGCTTTAAATGGAATAGCTTTCATATAACCAACAGAACCCCCCACCACTGTCCCCAACCCTCTTATCCCCAGCATCTTCAAACCTGTGAGTTATCAAACTATCTTAAAGAGATATATCTGCTCAGTAACAAAAGGTCAGTTTTACATGTAGACAAAGTTTAATACAAAGCAAGTGTTCTACTCAAGTGTTCAAATAATGGGAAGTACTGAAACTGGAAAGGTTAAGAGAGAAAGCACTAAGGCTTTAATTTAAGCTGCCTGATTTTCTTTTAGTAGGAAAAGAGAAGGGCACATTCCGTGGTTCTCCTCCTGTTCTGGAATGCTGTGGCAAAGAGTATGTCTGAGAAGTACTGCACTGTGGGTGATGGTCTCTGAACACAGTGCTTGGTCAGTGAGCTTCATAATTCTCCAGTCTAGAGAGTCTCTGACTTTATTAAATATAAAGTCACAGGACTGGAAAGTCAATATAAAAGTCATCCATAGTGAAATTCCCAAATATTAGAAATATTTCAAGATGTAAAAAATGCTCCGAATTGCTATTAATCTGTCCTCATGCAGTACATCCACTGCAGTCTGAAAACTGCAGATACCGACTGTACGAGTACAATGGAAACTACTTCGAAGAGAGAAAACCACTATCTAAATTAGTCACAGAGTTTCCTTTCCATATAACAGCACCTGTTCAAGTGAACAGCACCTTACCAGCCCGAGCTGGCTTTGTTCACTGTCATTTGAGCAAATGAGTCATAAAAAACAGGTAGGAAAAGGAAACAAATACAAAACTCTTAACAAAAACCAAAGAATTAAAAAAGAAAAAAAGACAGAAAGAAAAGAGGAAGCAAGAATATTTAGAAGTGGTTATAAAACAAATAATATATTAGAGATACATGGGAACAGTATGGACCAGAGCTGTTAAGGTAAGGTTTGGTGTTGGCATTTTAATTCTTCAGGCTTCTGGCCATCGTTACCAGTTGTAGCACAAAACTGCTGGAGTAGTGGTGTGGCATTAAGACTTGGAATGGTCAAAGTTCTTCAGATTCATGAAGTTGAAGGTTGCTTTTAAAAAAATGACTCTCTAGGAAAGAAAAACAAACAAACAAACAAACAAACAAAAAAGACATAAAGCTTATTCCAAAAACAGACTTAAATAGAAAGTTAAGTAATCAAACTTTTCAATCAAGTAATCAACAGTTATCTGCCTATGTTAACAGGAAATAAACGTAACAGCTCATTCCAAAACTTAGATGCCTTATAATTTCTGGGAAATTGGCAAGTATAGACCTCGCAACAAAGACCATACTACCTGATGTAATTACCACAAAAGAGACGACACACATAGTGTAACCTCACCCCCACCCCATCCCAATGTCTGTTATCTGGTTTTCCCTTCTGCAGTTGCAGGTACCTAGAGTCAATTGTGGTCCAAAAACATTAAATGGAAAACTCAAAACTAAAGTTTGAAACCGAGGGCTATTCCCCAGCCCCACCCCGACTGTGAGTCAGTATGGATATGCTACTTACCCACTCATCACTTAGCAGCCCTGTTGGTTATTAGGTCAAATGTCATGGCCTCATAGAGGCTGCATTCAAGGAGCCCCTATTTCCTTTATTAATGGTCCCAAAGTGCCTGAGCAGAGAGGTATTTGCGATTCAGATACACTAAAAGGAAGTCATAAAGGGCGCCCCTTAACTGAAAAGGCAAAGGGGGCCAGTACATGGAGGATTCAGTACTATTTGGTTCCAGGCATCTAACAGGAGTAGTGACACATAGGTCCGCTTCAGTACATGGAGGATTCAGTACTATTTGGTTCCCGGTCAGGTGAAGTACACTGCTATAAAAATAAAAGTTAACCAGTGCAGGCTTTAAACTAGATTTGGGGAAAGTCAGTCTGTTTTTACTTCATTAAGATGAACAGGGAAGATTACTTTAGGTGCTGAGAACAAGTGAAGAGACACAGAAGGTTTAGAGTACAGAGGTATATTATTCGTGTTTTAATAAACTCAGGAGACTGGTGTGGGAGGTCCTTCTGTCTATGTGTTGCTTTTATTGGTTAATGAATAAAAATATGCTTTGAGCCTACGGCAGGGAAGAACAGAACTAGGTAGGGAAAGCTAGGCTGTATGCTGGGAGGAAAAGGAGGCAGAGTCAGAGACAGACGCCATGGAGCTGGTGGAGATACACATGCTGAAACTTTGGTGGTAGGCTATGACCTCACGGTGATATACAGATTAATAGAAATGGGTTAAATTAATAGTTAGCCAATAAGAAGCCAGAGCTAATGGGCCAAGCAGTGATTTAATTAATATAGTTTCTGTGTGATTACTTCTGGTCTAAGTGACCTGGGTGGCCAGGACGAACAAGTGGGCCCTCCTCCTATAGGAGACAGAGGCAGATAGATCTCTGTGAGTTCAAAGCAACCTTAGGATACCCACTATCAATCCAGAGATAGATCCAGGTGGTGGTGGTTCACATCTTTAATCCCAGTGTTTGGGAGTCACACACTTTTGATCCCAGTACTATGGTTTCCCTGTTATAGGACACCATATAATCTAGCACACTTTTTTTAAAATTGATTTTTATTGAGATCTACATTTTTCTCTGCTTCCCTCCCTGCCTCTCTCCTCTTTCCTTCAACCCTATCCTCCCAAGGTACCCATGCTCCCAATTTACCCATGAGATCTTGTCTTTTTCTATTTTCCATGTAGATCAGATCTACGTAAGTCTCTCTTAGTGTCCTCACTGTTGTCTAAATTCTCTGGGCGTGTGGTTTGTAGGCTGGTTTTCTTTGCTTTTGTTTAAAAACCACCCGTGAGTGAGTACATGTAATAATTGTCTTTCTGTGTCTGGGTTACCTCACTCAAAATAATGTTTTCCAGCTCCATCCATTTTCCTGCGAAATTCAAGATGTCATTGTGTAGTACTCCACTGTGTAAATGTACCACATTTTCCTTATCCATTCTTCAGTAGAGGGGCATTTAGGTTGTTTCCAGGTTCTGGCTATGACAAACAGAGCTACTATGAACATAGTGAGCACATGTCCTTGTGGCACGATTGAGCATCCTTTGGATATAGACCCAAAAGTGGTATTATTGAGGAAGGTTGTTTCCTAATTTTCTGAGAAATAGCCACACTGACATCCAAAGGGGTTGTACCAGTTTGCATTCCCACCAGCAATGCAGAGTTCGCTTTTCCCCACAACCTCTGCAGCATAAGTTGTCATCAGTGTTTTTGATGTTGGCCATTCTTACAGGTGTTAAGATGGAATCTCAGAGTTGTTTTGATTCTAGCACACTTTCAATCAATCAAACAACAAACCAACCAATCATATACACTATTGATATATATTACTAACATACAGTGGTGAACATGTGATTGCTGCACTCAAATATCCTATGCAAAGACCTACCAAGTAACAAGTAACATAGAAGGGAAGGCACACTTGTTTTTAGCAAATCTTTCCTGCTCTTTTAGAACCTGGATACAACTGCAGAGTAGGATTGATTTGCTCTATCCAACATCCCTTCCACTGGTCTGGTCGTTTTCCTTTCTCCCCATCTCCATCTGATTATCCCAGTGCTCTACACAGGAAGGTGTTACTATTAACTACCTTTATCTAGCCCACCTATCAAAGTATGCGGGTCTCTGTTCCTGCTCCTTTCCTTCTCATAGACACCATAGAGTCTTGGCCACAGGATGGTCACAGTATAGATTAATGAATCCCAAAGTGAAAAGATTAAGCTGTAATGTAACCTGATGGACAGGGCTTGGGAATAAAAACCCAGATGTGTGCTGTCTCTAGAGCCAAGCACTAATTTCTATTTTAACTATTTCCATTTTCCAATTCTTTTATATATGCAGAAAACACCAGGCTCATTTTTCTGTTCTCTTTGGTTGGTTAGTTGCTCTCTGTGATATCCAGAGAAGCCCTTGCTTCCTTTAAAAAGATGTTTTTCCAATCTCTGAAGCTTTGACAGACTTCTAAGGCTTTTCAGTACCGTGTCTGTGTAAATGAGTGCAGTCATGTGCCATGTAAAAAGGACAGCCTACCTCTCGGAGCAGGACCTTAATATTGTCTTCAGTCTCTGCCCCTTTAAAGTTATAACCTCTCTTTAATGACAGACAAAAACAGTTTCATATGGAAAAGCTGTCACTAATGACTATATCCAATGCCACACCCTGGGTAGGAAATAGGACTAGCTGGTGGTGCTGTGTGGGTGACAGCAATGACATCCTGACCTCTTCTTTTAGGCAATGTTTAACCCACATCTGTAACACCATATTGACATCCCACAGCAGTTCAGACAAAACTGACTGTGCCTAAAATTATATACAACCCTAGCCAGCTTTACTATTTTAGTGTAAAAGCAGTGCATGAATAATCAATCTATAATAAATACTAAATGTAACATGGTTCTAATTTTAAATAATACACTAGTGCAACTAAACAAATAAAATAGAAAAATATTTGATATATCTGAAAAACAACAGTTAGGTAGTATCAAATGAGTACCAAGACATTATGCCCTATAAACAAATAAACGGATGGAGAAATGCAGGTGCTGCCACTCCTCCATCATTTCCTACTCTGGCTCTCACTGCACCTGACAGCAGTGGCTACTCCAGGATGGAGCATTTCAAAAAGGCTCATTTGAAGCTCAGACAACTGGTGAAGCCAACAGAAGCTGAGTCGCAACACCTGTGTGTGGCTCAGTGTGACACCTACAGATCACACCAAGCCAGGATTCCTCTCCTGATTAGGACTCTGAAAACATATACCACTCCAGACACGCAGGTTGTTAATATTTTGTGTCTGCTTGAGCCCTAATAAAAAGGCAGTTGGGATAAGCTGGCAGAGGGAACAGCCTTGAAAGGACATAAAAGTCACAAAGGCTGAACGCTTGCTCACCTTAAGCTGCCCACCACTAGCTGAGAAAGACAGTCCTGGGAAGTTCTTTGCAAGCTGTTTTCTGACCGATTTTGGGCATTCCCTTTGCCCTACTTTCAGAGCTTTATCGAAAGTGAACCCTTGGTGAACCTTAGTGCTCTTCTTCCGGGTTAGGAAGGGACATGAGGGGAGAGAAAGATACACTGCAGACAGCGATTATTCTCTGTCTATAGGATATACATTGTCCTGGTCCTGCTGCTTATCTTGGGCCACCTACTGTCTGCCTCTGTGGGATGCTGGCAGGACAAACTGATGCTTCCTGACAGTTGGCCAGCAAAGGAAAACATTCCAGACGGAGCGGTAGCCTGTCAGAGGGTAGAAATGTTGAAGCGCTGAGAACTCCTCTTTACCTAGAGATTCACACTCTGGCTTGTTTCCAAATGACAGGCTGCACTGATGGCAGTCCTTCAGAACACCTTAACAGTCTGCCTGTTTACCTCCTAACGGTCATACCTCCTTCCCTGGAGCATAGCCCTCCTGTGACAAGAGGGGCCAAATTCTTACTGCCTAACCCACCCAAGCATTTCTGAATACTTGTTAAATATCTTAATACGTCAATCAATTCTCCCAAACCTATCTAGCTTGTTTACCTTACATGTGACCCTCATACACGATGGTAGGAGATTCTAATACCCAACTCTCACTAATAGATAGGTCATTTATACAAAAACACAACAACAACAAAAAAACAAAACCAGAAATTCTGGAACTAAATGACGTTATTAATCAAACATTTACACTTTCATTCAAACACAAAAGACCACACCTTCTTCTAAGCAGGTCATGGCACTTTCTCCAAAATTGATCACATACTTGGAGACAAAGTGGGTCTCAACAGATACAAGAAAATTGAAGTAAGACTCTGCATCTTATCTGCCCACCGGGATTAAAGCTGGAAATCAACAATAACAGAAAGTTTACAAACTCATAGAAACTAAACAAGTCACCACCGAATGAAAAGGGAGATCAGACAGGAATTAAGAAAGAAATTAAAATCATTTTAGAATAGAATGAAAATGAAAACACAGCACAGCCAAACCTATGGGACACGATGAAGACAGTCAAGCAAGTTTCGCTGCACTGACTACATGAAAAAAAAAAAAAAAAGGACCAGATCTAGTATTGGTAACTTAAGGGCACACCTGTAAGTTCTTGAAGGAAAGAAAGAAAGAAAGAAAGAAAGAAAGAAAGAAAGAAAGAAAGGAAGGAAGGAAGGAAGGAAGGAAGGAAGGAAGGAAGGAAGGAAGGAAGGAAGGAAGAAAACAAAAGAAATCATACCCAAAGGAGTACAGCAAGGAATAATCACTTTTAGGGCTAAAATGTCTATCAAAATCCTAGCAAAATTCTTCACAGACCTCGAAAGAACAATACTCAACTTCATATGGAAAAGCAAAAAACCCAGGATAGCCAAAATAATCCTGTACAATGAAAGAACTTTGGGGGCACCACAATTCCTGACTTCAAACTCTATTACAGAGCTACAGTACTGAAAACAGCCAGGTATTGGCATTCAAAACAGACAGGAGGACCAATGGAACTGAATTGAAGACCCAGATATCAATCCACACACCTACAAACACCTGATTTTTGACAAAAAAAGCAAAAAATAGAAATGAAAAAAAAGCATATTCAACAAATGGTGCTAAGCATAACCAGACATCAACATGTAGAAGAATGAAAATAGATCCATATCTATTGTCATGCAGAAGACTCAAGTCCAAATGGATCAAAGACATCAACACAAAACCAATCACACTAAACTGAAAAAGTGGGAAGTACACTTGAATGCATTGACACAGGAGACCACTTCCTAAATATAACCCCAGTAGCACAGACACTGAGAGAAACAATTAATAAATGGGAATTCCTGAAACTGAGCAGCATTCTGGTAGCCTAGAGAATGGGAAAAGATCTTCACCACCCTGACATCTGACAGACGGCTGATCTCCAAAATATACAAAGAACTCAAGAAATTGGTTATCAAAAGAACAAATAATTCAATAAAGAAAATGGAGTACAGACCTAAACAGAGACCTCTCAACAAAGGAGTCTAAAATGGCTGAAAGATACATAAGAAAATGTTCACCATCCTTAGTTACCAGAGAAAGGCAAATCAAAACAACTCTGAGATTCCATCTTACACCTATTAAGAGTGCCTAAGCTCAAACACTGATGACAACTTATGCTGGAGAGGATGAGGGGTAAAGAGAACACCCCTCCTTTGCTGGTGGGAGTGCAAACTGGTAGAGCTGCTTTGGATATCAATATGGTGATTTCTCAAAAAATTAATAAACAACCTACCTCAAGACCCAGCAATACCACTTTTGGGTATATATACATATATCCAAAGGATGCTCAATTATACCACAAGGACATATGCTCAACTATATTCATAGCAGCATTATTTATCATATCCAGAACCTGGAAACAACGTAAATGCCCCTCGACTGAAAAATGGATAAAAAAAAAAAAGTGGTACATTTACACAATGGAGTACTACACAGCAGAAAAAAAAGACATCTTGAAATTTTCAGGCAAATAGTTGGATCTAGAAAACATCATATTGAGTGAGGTAATCCAGACCAAGAAAGATAAATATCATATGTACTCACTCATAAATGGCTTTTAGATATAAAGCAAAGAAAACCAGACTACAATTCACAATCCCAGAGAACCTAGACAACAATGAGAACCCTAACATGGATCCAATCTACATTGGAAATAGAAAAAGACAAGATCTCCTAAGTAAATTGTGAGCATGGGGATCAAGAAGAGGGTAGAAGGGTGGCAGAGAAAAATATATAGCTCAATAAAAACAGCAAAAGAAAAGAAACTACATCTGGAAAAAAAAAAATAAGCCTGAGGTTTTAAGTGCTAAAAACAAAGAAGAAAGTATTTAGGGCTAAAATCACTAAAATAGAAACAAACAAGCAAATGACAAAACAATACAAAAAATCATGCAAAAAAAATGGAAAAAAAACCTAAAATTACAATCACAATTATATATCATTTCATGTCGACGAAATTAGCAAAATAAAAATCTTAGCACTGAGGCTATGACCTAATAAGGGTTCTCACTCTCTTCAGATGGACGAGCAAACAGTTCTACTATACAAGGCAAAAGATGAATGTTCTGTGGCCTCAGCATTTCCCTGAGTTATCTGCCCTCTGACTGTTCAAAGTACAAGCTTTCAGAAGTAATGTTACTGTGTACTTTATGTGATAAGACCTGTTTTATAAAATCCTAACAGATGTCATAATTATGCACTTCATCAAGAATTCTTTAGTCATTACATGGAAGCAACTAGTATATTAACTAATTCCATAGTACTTGTCATTTAAGTTATCTCATGTATTGCTACTAGTAACCAAATGTGGTTGGTCTCATGCTAATGAGTTACTGGTACTAACACTAGTGTCACTATAGTTACATGTAGGCCCCTCACTGATTAATTCAACCATCTAAAAAAAAAAAAAAACTGACAAGACATCGTATTAGTAACTTAAGGGCACACCTGTAAGTTCTCGAACAAAAAGAAGAAATCATACCCAAAATGAGTACAGTGAAGAATAATCAAATTTAGGACGAAATCAATAAAACAGAAACAAACAACGACAAAACAATACGAAGAATCAATAAGACAAAGAGTTGGTTCTTTTAGAAAAATTGGTAAGATTGATAAAACTGTTAGCCAAACTAACTACCAGACAAAGAAGATACAAATTAATAAATTAAGAGAGAAAAGGAGGAATGAAAGAGAAGACACCAAAGTCTTTTTAAAAATATACACTATAATAGACCTCGAAGAGGAATATCAGCAAACATCCCTTGATGCAGGAGTCTTCTGCTTTGTGTTGATTTCATTGGTTAAATAAAGAAACTGCCTTGGCCCTTTAATAGGACAGAAAATTAGGTGGGCGGAGTAAACAGAACAGAATGCTGGGAGAAAGAAGTAGAGTCAGGCAGTCACCATGATTCTCCCACTCGGACACAGACACAGGTTAAGATCTTTCCTGGTAAGCCACACCTCGTGGGGCTACACAGATTATTAAAAATGGGTTAATCGAGATTGTGAGAATTAGCCAATAAGAGGCTGGAACTAATGGGTCAGGCAGTGTTCAAAAGAGTACAGTTTCCATGTAATTATTTCGGGTAAAGTTACCCAGGTGGAGCTGGGTGGGAACGCAGCCCACCGCAGCTCCTACAACAATCCCTAAGTAAGCAAATTTACTGCTTTTAGTTTTTATTTTATTTATTTTGTGTGCACACACAGATGATTGTGTAAGGAGACTTCTGCCATAGCATACACATCAAGGTCAGAGGAGTTGTTTCTCTCCCAGCAAGGGAGTCCCAGGGATGACTGAGACTGTCTAGCCAGCAGGCAGCAAGAGCATTTACTTGCTGAGCTCCCCCACCTAAGTTCTTAAAAGTAGTTTAAAGATAGACCAGTTTAATGTTTTGAGATAGGTTTTGCCCAACTGTCTTCTAAGAAATAACATACATCATTATGTGAATATGGTTTCATCTCATAACCTTCCAACACTGGTAAAGACACAAATTTTTGTCATATGGGTAAAAATGTTCCACTAACTTTAATTTTTCACCAATTTAAGCAATATAGTAAGGCCAAAGATTTTTGTTTATAGTTCAGTTAGTTTTTACATGGTTTACCTGTGTAATCTTCACCCTGTTTTTTTTTTTTTTTTCTCTAGAAGTGTTTAATTCTCTTAATAATTCTTTAGAGTTCTTTCGAGACAGGGTTTCACTGTGGTTTTAGAACCTGTCCTGGAACTAGCTCTTGTAGACCAGGCTGGCCTCGAACTCACAGAGATCCGCCTGCCTCTGCCTCCCGAGTGCTGGGATTAAAGGCATGCGCCACCACCGCCCAGCTTCTTTGGAGTTCTTAACTTTTTGAGAATATTAATCCTTTACTGTTAGTTATATTAAATATTATTTATCAATACTTTCCCTCCTTGATCTTTCAACTTTTAGGTAATAGAACTATTATGCTTTCTTTATAGATCACTGTTTGATATGTAATTTTTAACATATAGATTTTAAAGACTTAGCTCATTATCATATAAGATAAATTTCTCTGAAATATAAAAGTAACAGCACCTCCAGTGGCCAGTGTGAACATTAATTAGAGATTACAATAACAAGCTTGATAGAGAGAAGGAATGTCGACTGCCAACAGTCATTTGCAGCAGACAGCCAACAGACCACAGAGATTCTGATTATACACATCTGAGCAGGTGCGCTTGATGATAACAGCAGGACAAAGAAAGTCATTCGAAGACCCTGATATAAAACTGCACAGCAAAGGATCACAGGATGGTCACAGGGAAGGCGGTGGATGGCCAGGCTCACTTACCTTACTCTTCTCCTTCCTCTGCCAACTCTGTTTCTTTGTGCACTACCACCCTTGTGACCGACATATCCGGGTGCTGCTCTCTGGCTTCCCTGATGGCCTGAGCCAGCGCCTACCAGGATCAGAAGAACAGCAATCATCAGCTGAGTATTTGGTTCTGCCTAAAGATGGCAGAATACATGAACCTTCATCTACCAGACAAAAGGTCCAGCCAAACTGTTCTTGTGGTCTTCATTTACAATAACAGAGTCATTCAGATTGGATTCACTGATCATTTCAGAAATCGCCTGACATTTTCTCTGCTTCCTGACTTTCCTGTGTACCTCTAAGGGTGATGCATATAGGAGAAACTGGCTTTGAAATCAGGTTTGTACTCACTGTGGTATTAGGAGAATGTGGTTTTCCTCTGAGCTTTATAGAATTCTCACCTGGAAGCTTATACTAATGACAAGACAATACAGATCATTTTGAGGTTTGTTGTAAGAATTTAGGAAATGATGTCAAATAACAAGTACAGTGCCTCATCTATACAAATGGTAGTAGCTACAACTTAACAGATGGAAACTCCAAGACATGGGACCAGGTCTTCTAATGTTTGTCATCTAGGACTCTAAGTAATTGTATGAATTTAAAAAGATTATACTAAAACATTATAAGAAAAATGCCCGTAAACTTATAGGGGGCAGAAATAAAGAACAATAGTAACCATAAAAACAATCATTAAGAAGAAGTACACTGTCTGACAGCAGGTCAAAACTTTGCAGCTGGAGGCCCAAGGTTAATGGTTCTTTCTCAACCCCAAGCAGTCACACCAGCAGCACATGGGGAGGATCTAGAGTGTGATTACACAGCTCTATGGTCTCTTCAAGGATGAGGCAGCAAGAAAGACGAATACCTCTATTTCAGAGAGCAAATGATGTAACATGCAAAGACCCTATTTTTAAGAGGGAGACATATCTTTCTTAATTATTGAGATTTTCATTTGTAAAGAAGTTCTGAAAGAAAAATATCCCACAAAAAAACAAAGTCTAGGAAAGAATCCTAAAAAAAAATATTCTTCTAAGATATAGATCACCTCATTACAAAAGGAAATTATGTATCTGAAAACAGTGAAGAGCAATGTAACCTTTCTTTTGCTCTGATGTCTGTCTTTGGGAACAAACACATTACTGGATCATGTTACAGTTCTTCTCTGCTATAAAATTATGGAGTGTGGTGGTTTGAAGAAACAGCCCCCAATGGGAGTGAAACTATTAGGAGGTGTGGCCTTGTTGGAGGAAGTGTGTCACAGTTGGGATGGGCTTTGAGGTCTCATATGCTCAAGCTATGCTCAGAGTGACTCAATTCACTTCCTGCTGCCTGAAGACCAAAATGTAGAACTGTTAGCTTTCTCCAACACCATGTCTGTCTACATACTGCCATGTCCCACCATGATGAACCTCTAAACTCTAAGTAGCCCCAATTAAATGGTTTCCTCTATTAAGAGTTGCTATGGTCATGGTTTCTTTTCAGAGCAACAGAAATCCTAACAAGACATGGAGTATACTCTGGAGCTTTGATCATTAAATCTAGGTAACCTACGGAGTAAAGGAGAAGAGGACAAGCCATAATCAACACCCAGCACATATTAATTTATTGTTTTATATGTATGGGTATTTTGCCTGCATGTATATCTGTGTACCATGTATATGCTGATGTCCATGGAGGACAGAACAGAGTGTAAGATCTCCTAGAACTGAAGTTACAGATGTTTGTGATCCACCAAATGAGTGCTGAAAAGGAAGCCTGGATCCTCTAGAAGAAGAGCCAGTGGCTCTTAATTACTGAGTCACCTCTTCAGCCTGTATCTTAAATTATGCTTGTAATTTCTTTCATTGTATATCAGCTTAAGAAGTTAAATGTAATAATAAAATGTTAATAAAATATTACTCTAACAATAATAAAGACCATGAGAAATATCATACTGCCAAATTTATAGGCAAAAAAAGTGAACCTGGGTCTCAGTATAGTCAGGTTAGCCTTGAACTTCTTGGGCTTCTTCTACTTTAGTCTCCTGAGAGCTGATGTAGGAGAACAGGCATGTAGCACCATACCAGGCTGAGAACTATTTTATTAGAAAGAAATATGCTAAGAGTAAGTATAGTGTAGTTTTTTCCTTGCTGGAATGGAGCAGCAAATTATGACCAGCAGAGAAGGAAGAGCTGCTGAGCTGGTTTCTATGGGAGTATGGCCATCACATATATCAATGTGAGACATTTTTGTGTCTCCCTCAAATAAAGGAATCTTCCATATTAAGATTTCTTTGAACAAAAGGAAGGAACTAGAAAAAAATGGGAATGGTATTAGTCACTATGTGACCAGCATCAGTTTTTGTCAAGAGACCAATTTCTTCATTTAATGTACATAGTTCCAAGGATCCCTTTTTAAGGAGAAAGTGAGCCCATCATGAGCATCTTGTGGCAACTATGCAGATCGGATACCACTTAACCAGTGTAGAAGCATAAAAGAGATGGTATGCTCTTATATTAACTGTTCAGAATACTGAATCATCCTTTTTAAATAGAATTGTGCTATTTTAGGAACCACATGTTTCATATTTGTTATTTCTATTTGCCTTTTACAAGCAATGCTACATAAACTTGAGTTTTCAAGGCAAACAGGTTAAAAGGTAAAACCTGAGGGATACCCAGCTGGGGAAGTATTGAAAAGCATGAAAGGGAAAAGGACTAAAAAAATGACTGGAAAATACTCTTCTTGCCTAGAACACTGTAGGCATTTAATAAATAATTCTTGAGCAAGAATGTCAGGGGAAAAGTAAGAGTCAGGTATGCTCCACCTCGGAGTCAGGGAAGTCCAGACTCCCCACTGGGAAACAGCAAAAGCTCCCTCTGTATGGGAAAGAGGAGGTGTCAGTTCCAAAGAAGTTCTTCCATGTCAAGTCAGCTACTCAATTCCTAGGAATCCCCCACTCTTAAGTTCATACTTAGCATCTGGGGCAACTTTATCTCTAACCCTTAGAAATTGAAAACACAACAAACCAACAGGCAAACAAATGGATCCCAAACATTATGAAACATGTAATCAAAATACCAGGCTTACAAAGGTCACAAAATTCCATCCTTTCTGGTCATACACAGAGCCTTTCTCAAGCAAGCAATTCTTATTTCTAATAGCGGCCCTCCTGGGCATAGTACCATGTTCAAAGCTGTGTGTTTATCACTTGTCCCTATTCTCCAACAGAAAAGGTCTGCTAAGCACGTCTATTCCTTTCTTCAAGTTGTGGAGAAAAATACCTTATTCTCCTTTTTAAAATTAATCAAAAAGAAAAACTAAGAAAAAAGAAAAGGGAGGGAGAAGGAAGAGGAGGAGGAGAAGGAGGAAGGAAAGGAGAGTAGAAAAGTAAACAAGGGAGGAAGGGAGGGAAGGAGGGAATGAGGCAGACAGACAGACACTCTTGTCATCACTTGCGGCTGGTCTAAGACCAAGCTTCCAGCAGCCCCACTTCTTACCTACCTGCTTTATAACCAAGCATTGACCTATCTTAGAACTGAAACATAGTTCTGGTTTTAAAAACAAAATAACAAAAAAATATTCAATATAAATTTTCATTTTGAAAGAAATATGAGATCTTTCCTTCCCTTTACAACTCCAAATTACCACAGGAAAAATACTTAGTAGTCACTAGTCTAACTTTTCTTATGCTACAAAATTACTTGAAAATGTTCAACAACTAAGCGTAAGAAACCTTGGTGGCTTGTTTGTTTGGGCACTGTCATTTACTACCATTTGTTTTAAAATATTTAACAACTTGTCTTTAAACCAGGCCAATGTGAATTCCTACTGGTCACCCGAAGTCCCCATTATCTTGCATGTTAACCCAGTGAAAGATAAACATTACTTCATGTTTTGTGCTGGTGTGTTTAGGAAAGCTCACAGGTCAGGCTGGGAGGTGTCCTTCCGCCATACTTTGGATGCACCAGGAGGTAACTAGACACAGATGGGACAGGCAGGGCCCTTACCTGATCATGATCAAGGGCTGCATCTCCTGTGATCACAATGCGTTTCTCAATTCTTGTTTCAGAGATTCCACCTTTCACAGTCTAGAGGTCAAAAAAAAAAAAAAATTAGAAGAAGAGAAAATAGTAAGTAGAACTGACAACTTCGACCATCTTAATACCAGAATCAGGCTCTGGGTGCTTTTCAGTTCCACAAAGACCTACTGTTAAAGTGACAGTGTCCATGCATATCCTTGACTTGAAAGCAGTCCTTAAAATACCAAGATTCTGGTCAGATTAAAATGGAATAAATGCCATTTAAAAAAAAAATCTAAGTAATTCCATTGGGATAATCTAAGTTATCATTCCCTACGTTTCTTCCCTATCAGTTGGCCAATTTTTTTAAAAGGAGAGTAAAAAGAAGAAATAACTGGCACTGATAGAGTTATGAACATTTTAGATGTGTTTTTGATCAAAACTGATATAGTTTTGATGCTTGATTTCAGTCATACAAATTCATTTAGTAAGGCATTCATTTGATTTAGTGAAATTACAAAAAAAAAACCTTACATCTGATTTAAAGAAAACAAATAATATTTTTATTAAAAGTTTGATCTGATGATTGCTTCCAAGTGTGGCCGTGCACATGAACACAGAACACGCTATACACTGGTTGTGTAGAAAGACTGGGGTGAAGGAGGCCCTGAATGAACTGCCTCACAAAAGTACTGGTCAGGTGCGAGCTAAGAGTGTCTGGGGCAGGCTGGAGAAGTAGAAGGCCAGAGATCCTCTGAGACCTTTGCACACAACCAATGCCAAAGTTCTGAAAAAACACTCTACCACCTTTACAACCCACACACCAATCACATACAGTGGCACTTATCTAAGAAATAAAGCTTATCACTAGCTCTATCACCTGAATATTTGTTAAATTGAGTACCAACATACCTGAATTTTTAATTCACAAAAATTCTTACTATTTTTTGCTTATTATTTAAATTATTGTCTTGAAACATGAAATGGAAAGGGTGTAACAGATATATTTAAGACTACTAAAAGCACTAATCCAATGTGAAAATAAAAGCAAAATGAAATACTAGAAAATTAGACTTGAATTACACTGGAGTGCATCAGAATCAGCTGGAAGCTTTCCCCAGGGTTCCAATAGGTCTGGAGTAAGTCATAACTTTTAGACATCCAAGCTCCAGATGCAGCTGATGCTCTCAGGCCAAGGACTACACGGGCTGGTTATATAGTACTACATGTTTAGAAAAGGTTTTGGGTAAAATGTCTTAAATCAACATACTAGAACTTTAAACAAATGAGAGACGTCTCACAATTTTATTAAAATATTTCTTCTGTCCATGTAGCTGTCTTAAATATATAGCTAGTCATATTTTTACCCCCTTGTACTTTACAAAACTGTAATTTGGTTTAAAACACATTTGTTGTTGGAGCCTAATTTCTTGGATACTTTAAAGAAAGACATTTAGTTCACTGGCACTGTCTGTGTATTACTTAGAAGTGTGTATAGGAACAAAGGAATAATACAGAAAAGATCTGTTTGCCATGTACCATCCACTCCCTAGGGTTCCCCTACATTGCTTTACCTTGGTGATGTGTGTGGTTGTCGTTGTTGACACGGACTCAGATGTGATGGTTTGTGCAGTCAGTAACGTGCCCGAATCACCACCAGCCCCGCCATCAATCTTTGAATAGTTGGAGGAAAAATACAAAGTAATGCTTAACTTCCATCATGTCAGAAAAGACCCCGCCCACTGAGTATGCATCTTCTAAGATTCCGCAGTTGGCAGGAGACGCTATCTGCCTGTCCTTTGCATGTTGGTAGTAGTGGTTCATGGTCCAGAAAGGAGCTGGCATTGAAAAGAGGAGCTGTGAAAAACAGTGAATGTACAGAAACAAACCCTGTGGCAGAAACAGGAAGTAGAACGAAGTGAAGGTGAGACTGTAAGTCAAACAATAGTGAAGAGGATTTGTCTGGGGACATTTGTAGAAGCTAGAAAAAGGAACCCAAGAGCCAAGTGAAGAAGTTTCCACAGTGACCAGAAGTACTGACTTTGCTATTGTTTTTTAAGCACAGGTGGGTAAAAATAGGTAAATATTTTCTTAGATTACTAGTAACAGAACCTGATGAGAACAAACTGAACTTAAATATTTGGTTATCTGCTTATCCCTAATATATTTTGTAAAACTTACATAGTTCTTATAACAGTTGGCATCTCATGAGTATATACATTTATAAGTGAATATATTATTATATAAGTGACTATACTTCATGTATGCCATATACATACACACACACTATATATATATCCCATTGTATATATTTTAAAAGTAGCTATTTTGTTTTGTTTGCTTTAACACTGGAAGAGGCAGAAGATTCTAGACTTTAACATGAAAAATAACAAAGTAAATTAACAGCTAGGTTGCTTACGTTACGATCGCAAACCTATGTGCCTACTTCCTAACACAACACAAAGAAATTCCTCTCGGACTGTCTCGGGTACCTGAGCTGCTAAAGGTACTTACTTACCACAACACAGGCGTAAGAACAATATTCTCACAAACCCGCCCATGATAAGAAACCTGTTTGTTCTTATGCAGGATCTATGCGCACATATGGATAACATGCTTGAAACTTTTTTTTTAATTTCTTTTTTTATTTTTTATTGAGCTCTACATTTTTCTCTGTTCCTCTCTCTGCCTCCCCCCCCCCCTTCAATCCTCTCCCAAGGTCCCTATGCTCCCAATTTACTCAGGAGATCTTGTCTTTTTTACTTCCCATGTAGATTAGATCCGTGTATGTCTCTCTTAAGAGTCCTCACTGTTATGTACTTGTTTTTGAGACATACTGCATACATATACACATTCAGTATCTTAAAATAAAATACTTTAAGACCTGACATCCTTTACCTCAGTGCAATCCTGCCAGAGAAAGGCAAACCACTTATTACATACATTTTACACAGGTCCATTTTGAAATGATGAACCCATTTTGTTTGTGTGTATGTGTGCATACACATGTGTTTGTGGAGTCTTATCAAACGTTGGTCACCTTGTTTGTGAGGCAGAATGTCTCATTTGATGTGAAGATGACTAATTCAATTTGGCTACACTGGCTAGCAAGTAAACCCTAGGATCTTTCCCCAACACTAGGGTTACAGGTATGAACCACCCCGGCTTTGAACAGAGATCTGAACTCAGGTTCTCAAGCGTGGGTGGCAAAGCAATATAAACTAAGCAATCTCTCCAGACTTCTTATTTAAAAAACCTTCGCAGAACCATTGTCTGCAGACCTAAAATCCAGCACACAGTTCTTTGACACTGATTCCATGAAAATGACTGCGCATTCCTAAGAAAAATGACCCAGCAGAGAGGGGAGAAAGTGATGTGGTGTCTCTAATATCAGAATAAAACATGAGTTTATTCAGTCTGCTTTCATGGAGTCAGAGCAGGGGGATCCTTGTAATACTACAAATGTATAAAGCCTATCCTATCTAGGTCATTTCCTTCCCAAGAACATACCCATAGATACGTACAAAAGACAGGTGGGTCCCACAGTAACAGGACAGGGCTTGTGCTGCTTGTCTTAACTCATACGTATGGCTCCCTATGTAAGAACTAACTTACTCCTCCTTTCTAATTGAGGCTTTTCTTTCCCGAGGAACCAAAGACTGAACTCTGAGCCTCACACTACTAGAAGTGCTCTATCCCCAGTCCTTTGGAGGTCACCCATTTGCCTGCAGCTCTCTGTCTAAATCTAAGACAGCAACAGAGCAGGTTACATTGCCGCAACAGCTACAAAGTATGAAAAGCTATGTCAAAGTCAGAAACGGGGAAGACTCTGTAAACAGAAGTATTCATACTAAACAAAAAGGGAATTCAAACAGTCCAAATCTTGAGCTTTTGTACCTGTGGAGACTCATATGTGATGGTTTTGGTCTCAGTTTGAACAATGGGGACTTCCTTGGTGGAGATTTCTGTCCTTTGTGAGGCATCAGAAATTGTTACCATCTCTGTTTTTACCACTGGTGGCTAAGGTGGAAAAGGAAGGGAAAGGTAAATTCTAGTGGTCATAAAGTAGAAGAGTTTAAAGGAACCTTCAAAAATAATTGTTAAAAAAAAAAACCAAACACACACTCATGCATGAAAAGAGGAAAAGGAAAATAACCTAAAAAAAAAAAGATAATATAACCTAAAAGATAGAAAAGACAAATTCTCCTCCAGCTATATCTCCTACGTGTGTGTGTGTGTGTAAGGTAAAACAATGAACCCCTGAATTGCATCGTTCTTCAACTACGACAGCCCTAAACCACTACACTGATACATGTATACTTTACTTTGGGAAAAAAATGTTAAAACTGAAAGATAATAGAATGCACTAAAGGTAACCACCTATATTTCTACTGAAGTTTACTGAAAGGATATTTTCAAGTATGATTATTTTCAATGACTCTCACCTGAAAGTTTGCTTTCTTTTGCATTAAGTACAATACAATGTTATAACGAAAATTAGTCCACTGGTGGTGCATTAGAAAGATTTTAAACCTGCAGAGAGGTTCAATTATCTGTTAACCCTGCTGAGCATACATGCTCAAGTATACCAGATGATAGCACTACCAAATATTTTAACACTTCCTTTGAGGAAAAAGCCCCGACAGGTGTAATTATTTAAATGGAAAAGGCAGGTCAAAGTGTTCAAAAGACTCTTGAGAGGCCTTCTCTGAAGTGAAATATGAAATTTTAAAGCAACCTATTTATTCCGAAACAAAGCCAATTAAAGACTGCCCACTCTCCATCAGAGAGCAAAGGCTGATAAATCCCGATATTGTGGGTTTCTGGAATCAAGAGACATTCCTGTGTAAGTAAATTATCATGTGAAAGACATTGCTCCTAATGATCAAGACAAAATCTGAGAGGAATATGCAAGGTCCGCTTTCTTGAAAATAAAAGATATAACTAATATAGAACAGTCTACAAAATAATCAATTTGCAAATCATCCAGGACTGATGTAAGAACCAGAAAAGAGGAGTGCACTTCTGCTGAATGTTTAGTCCTTGATGTCAAGAAGGAAAGGCTCTCAACCAGACCACACTCTCGTTGGACTCTAAAGACAGGAACCACAGTGGCATTCAAGAACTAATGTCCTTACCACTGTCAGAAACCACCTCACAGTTCTAAGAAAAAGTAAGAAAATGGTTCAGAAAGTCAAACCCAATCATTACAACAGAAACACATGCACTTAAACCCACCAACTTCCAACAGAACACACTACATAAGCCAATGAAAAACGGCATGTGATTGAGCAAGTAGTGCAGAGAAAGACAAAAAAGCACCCAAAACATGCAAAGAAAAACTGAAATGGGAACGAGAAGAAGAGACGTGGTTGTGAAAGTTTACCCTACAGGCAATCCAGCTGCAGCAAGGAGCTAGAAACTGTGACCTGAGCTGCAGAAGATCTACAGAGCAGTGCTTCCCCCTTCTTCCAGACAGAAAAATCAGATTCTTGCTGAAAAAGTCGAAGGAGAATTAGGGGAAAGGTGAAGAAAGGCGTTTCCCCCTGAGAAAGAGCGCTAGAGTTTAGCTCATGCTTGAGACTCCCATTTACCTCTGAACAACAAATAATTTCTGGTAAAACATCAATGTCAACATGGGGCACCTCTCCGTTAACTGTGTGTTGCTCTTCCTCGGTCTCTTCTCTTAGGTCTTGCTTAACAGTGTCTCCGTGTACACTCTTCTCTCCAGGCAACTTTTGGGCAACTACAGCTTCCTGGGCCTCTGTTTCTACTGGGAGTATACTGGCCTCTGCTTGTCTGTCTGGGATGGCTTCAGGCATTGCTGCCTCCCTCTCTACTACCTTGACTGCTTGGCCGGGCTCTTCCTCCATCTCGTCATACTCCTCCTGCTCTTCCCTTATGGTGCCCTCGGTCACTCGGTGGTGGGGCTGGTACTCTCCCACATCTTCCTCCTCACTCTCACTGCTGCTGCTGCTCTCAGAAGACAGGGAGGTGGAGTCTTTTTGTGTCACGGGCTCCACCTTACGAGTCTCCCCAGGACCACTCCCAGCTGACATCTCTTTACCATTCATTTCTTCTGTGGTTACTCTTTCGTCTTTCCCAACCTCTGCCCGTTTCTTCTCCTCCACTACATTCAGAGTCTCATGTGAACTCTGCACAAAAAAAAAGTGGATGAGGGGAAACAAAAAAATATATGAATAAATAAAAACAGTGGAAACTCAAATTAACTGATGGCAGATTCATGTCATGAAGAAACACAAAGATGACTATGATGGTGACTGAAAGGGAAGCAGGGCAACATGAGGCAGATGAGAGGGGTTAGCGTGGCATTAACATGGAAGAGGGGGAACCTTAACAGCGTCCCTGGCTCCAGTGCAAGGCCCTTCCGATGCAGGAGCGCGAGTCTGGAAACAAAAAGCAACCGGGGACACAAATCAGTATCGTTTACCTCAACAAGCACTGAGACAGACATGTGACGATGCAAACACAGAACAGCAACCCTACTGAAACCTGTGCTCAAGGTCACAGAGGACAATAAATGCCACACCACTTACAAAAAAAAAAAAAAAAAAAAAGACAAAAACAGCCAGTATTCTTGAAGAGAAATTAAGAAATTAAAAAAAAAATTTACAAACCCTATTTATAAAGTTGAAAATGTTAAAAAAAATATGTAATTAGACCTAAGCTTCCTAATCCACTTAAAGGATAAATTTTAAATCTGTTCCTCAGTGGGTGGGCAGGGGGGGGGGGAAGCAGGGGGCAGAACTGTGGATGGAATGTAAAATGAAATTAAAAAAAAATAAAATATTTTTTTAAAAAAAGCTTAAAAAATCAACAACAAAAAAATCCTGTTCCTCAAACACTTCAGTCTGACTCTAGAACACTGGCCGGGTCTAAGAGTAGCATCAAGGATCTCTTTCCATTTTTCTCCCCCTGGATCAGGGGTGCTCTTTAAAAAATAGCTTGGCAGCCAGGCAGTGATGACACACACTTTTAATGCCAGCACTGGGGAGGCGGAGGCAGAGGCAGGCGGATCTCTGTGAGTATGACCAGCCTGGTCTACAAAGAGAGTCACAGGACAGTGAGAGCTGTCACACAGAGAAATCCTATTCTTGGGGTTAAAAAAATAAAAAGCTCAGATCAGCAAAATCATATTCGGTTTCAAAAGGCTATTAATATTAAAACATTCATTCCGGACAATTATTAACATCTCAATTTGCAATACAGATAGTTGGGTGGGTGTCAACATTCACCTCACACGCTTTCTCTTAGAATTTACTATCACCACTGATACTGGAAATGAGTCAAGCTTACTACTGAAGACTATCATCCCAAACCCTGTGGACACCTATTTCTTAGCAGCACATTAATTCTATCTGATTAATACGGTAGCTAACTGTTCTATCTAATACCTGTAATACCTGCATACTGAATATAGGAGTAACATTACTATATTGCAGTATTAACCAGGGTAGAGTTCCTTTAGGAGTTTCTAAAGCATCATAGTACCTTACACTTGCACAAATGAAGCGGAGCAACCAGTTTGCATCCTCATGACACTACCAGTGATTGAACAAGTAATTCCGCTCCAGGCAGCAGTGCTGTTTACTCAAGGGGTCACCACATAAATGCAGAAGGACACTGGTGTACTCAGAGGTGTCCTAATAGATACCAGGTACTTCATGGGTCCCAGCAACACGGACACACAGATCTATATGATACAATTCTCAATGGTACCTACAAACATATGCCACAGGCACTCTAACCTGTTACTCTGAAATGTATGGTAATTTTATGTTTGAGTTGCTCAAAAGTCATACCATGTAAGCATGTGATTAACAAAATAAGAAAATCACCTTTCCAGATTTAATGAAAACCCAGGAGTTTCAGATATAAACTGAAAACCATGAGTCTACTTTTATAAACAAGTAACATTTAACTACAAACTGCTTCACAGAAGAAGATACCCAGTGCTCAGAGCATAGGGTAGATGTTTCTAGCTTATTACGGTCAGTATATAACCGTTATTTCTTTACTTAGCCTCAAATGGCTAGACAGATTTAACTCAAGTTTAGGAAATTCCAGACCGGCACCCCAACACAATTAGCTCAGGAAGTCTGGCAGGCACATGTATGGTGTTTTGAAAACCAGACCACCAGAAGATGCCTGAAATTTGGCTTCCGAGAACTCGAGCTCTGTAAAGCACTTAGCTAGCTTCCCCTCAGCTGACATTTTCCTTTTGCTTAGTAACTGCAGATCTGGGCCTGAGTGGCTTAAAAAAGTTTTCTACATTTAGTCAGTTTTTGTTTTGGTTTTGTTTTTAACAAAAATTAAAGAGGAAAAATCATCCAAACATAAATCTACTTCTTTATGTTCAAATTCACTGTTTATTGAATGTTTCTCCCACGCAGTGATTTCACTAGTAAAGTGAAGGAAAAGGTACCTAAATAGTCGAAAGAAAGAAAGAAAGAAAGAAAGAAAGAAGGAAGGAAGGAAGGAAGGAAGGAAGGAAGGAAGGAAAGAAAGAAAGAAAGAAAGAAAGAAAGAAAGAAAGAAAGAAAGAAAGAAAGAAAGAAAGAGAAAATTTTGTCTCTCAAGTGGCTTTTAGAAGCAGGGGAAACAAAGCAAAATGCACCTCAGTCAAGCGTGAGAAGGGCGCAGAAGAAAGCATTTCTCTAGGTGCATTAGAGTTCACAGCAGCGCCCTCTGCTGTCCAAGTGGTGGCTGAAGGGAAGGAGGCTCTCATATTATGAGAAAAGCCCTTTCCACTAAACAAAATTGATGTTATCTCCTCTTCTAGGCTCTAGAGGTCAGAAAAGGAAGAGCAGAGTCAGCAATACATCAGGACAGACGGCAGTGACCTACTAAGAGAAAGGAAAGGTTACACAAGAAAGAGTAACAGAACAGCATACGATGAAGAAAAAGCTAGAATTTTGAAGATAGGAGCAGGCTTATATGAAAGTTGGCCCGAATGCCAGCTTTTGCACCTTGCCTGAGAATCTCTGGAAGCTGGAAGCTACAGAAGTCATCTCCAAGGCATTCATCACTGAACGTAGCAAGGCACACTCTGAACCCCTCAAACACTGACTTCTGAGGTAGCTTCTTGGCCTCTTCTTTTCTGGCAGGGAATGATCCCTCCAGCAGCCCCTACATTAGAAATGCTTCTTTCCTATGCTGGATCCATTCTGCACCTCTGACTCAGCCCACTTAATAAAGCATATGTGTGCAATGCCCTTTCTTGACAGACTGGGGTGGGGGACGACACAAACATAGGCAGTTAAAAAAAAAAAAAAACTTCAGACAATCTCAGAACTGAAAACTCAGTACTCAATGAGCAATAAACAGCCCATCTGTTTACTGAGAATCTATTAAGGCAGATATATTAAGTTTCACATATCTATCCCTTAAACAACGCTTCCTAGTCATCTGTGAGAACCCTAGAAACTTGGAATGACACAAAAGATGAGCACCCCTCCCAGCCCTGCCATGTGGAACTTTGAGAATTCTTAATAAACCACATTCTCCAGACTTTATACATGTATGGCATGTACAAAGTGTTCTTCAGACCTTGACCTAAGAAGAATGGAGGGGGAGGGTGGGCTGGGTAAGTTCTTAAATTTTCCAGAAAAAAAAAAGTTTCTGATCTTTACTAATAAAAATTGTGGAATTTTAGCACTGGTGGAGCACAGCTTTAGTCCCAGCACTCGGGAGGCAGAGGCAGGCCAGGCGTATTTCTCCGAGTGTGAGGCCAGCCTGGTCTACAGAGCAAGTTCCAAGACAGCCAAGGCTACAGGAAGAAACCCTATCTCAAAACATAGCCAAACCAAGGGGGTGGGGCATTGTGGAATTTAAGTATTTTGCACTGAATTAATAAAATATATTCAAAAGTATTTTACTGACTGGGAAAGTCACTCATGTAGTGTTTGTCCTACATGTTCAATACCCTGGAATCAACCTTCAATATTACATCCTCCAAAAGGCCTTAAGACTACAGAGTAGATAATCTCTCAAAGATTCACAAAAGGATACAAATCATCATAAGTCTCATAATACATGAGAGGGCAGACAATAGTTACTTACCCATTAAAAACTAAAAATTCTTTGGTTTCCAATTTTCTGTTCTACCCCCCAAAATTATTCATGATCAAACCAAAGCTATTTTTGAAAATTCAATCTATTTAGTTTTTAAATAAGACACTTATCACAAAAAAGAAAAAAAAAACATCTAGGGGTTAAAGAAGATAAAACGGTTCAGCAGTTAAGAATACTTGCTCTTGCAGAGGACCCAGGTTCGATTCCCAGCACCCACACAGTGATTCACAAACTACTGGACCTGGATTTGATGCCCTCTTCGGACCTCTGTGGGCACCAAGCACATATGAGGTACAGAGACATATATGTAGGCAAAACACTCACATGTAAAATAAAAATTAACAAATCTTTTAAAAAGAATTTTAAGAAAAAAAAAGAATTATGAGACTCATACTGTAGGAATTTGGAAACTTTAGGCAAATACTTGCATGTATTTTTTCTACTTTTCAATAATGATTATTATCCAAAGACAAAGAAGGAACCCTAGAAAATCAAAATGGAAAAGAAGACATAATAAAGATAAAAACTCAAATAGTATTCAACTCAAGTAAAAGCATGAGCAGGCTGAGTGCATGCTTCCAATAGTTGTATGCTATCTCGAGAGAAAAACAGTACAGACAGATGGCCAATAAAAGCTTCATGGGTGAAAAGTCAACCGGATAACAAAAGGATATATATTATATACAGTATATATTTTCCACATCAGAGAATGAATACTAGGAGCTTTTCCTGATTAATGTTGCATAACTTCACTTTAACCTCTTAAGTTATTTTATGCTGTACATCCTTAACACATGAGATCCAGAAAATCATAGTCTTAAACATCTTCTCCAAAATTCTACTTAATATTTCTAAAAGCCCTTATCAAAAGATGGCAGCTGACTTAGGTTCTACACATTCTGATGAGTATTTCCCTGCTTTAAAGCTCATGTCGTTTGGTCATTTTGGGTCCTGAAACCAGTTCCTATCCCAGCAGTTGCATGTGCTCTTCCTTCAGTATGGATACATTTTCTGCATACTTTCTTTGAGACAGGGTTTCTCTGTATAGCCCTAGCTGTACCAGAACTTGCGTTGCAGCCCAGGCTGGCCTCACACTCACAGAGAGCCACCTACCTCTGCCTCCCAAGTGACGGGATTAAAGGTGTGTGCAACCATTTCCCAGCTTTGGTCTATTTTCTTATCATTAACAACTTGCTTTAAATGCCACCTCTTCCTGACCCTTCTAACACAACACTGTTTCACCTTTTTAAGATTCTTAGTATGTAAAAATCTCTAACATTAATGAACAAGCCTGCTGTCTACTCTGCCCCCTTTCTCACAGAGCCTAACACAGCACACTACTGCCACCTCCAGTCGGATCCTGGTGAAACTGACATTCATTCCTAGCATCAAGTTTGGGGCTCCAGGCCTTGGGGTCCCTCACTTGCTTGCCTTGTGTGCCACCCTCGTGAACATCTCCTCTTCTAAACTCTCCAAACTAATAAGCTGGCTAAGCAACCTCAGCAGAAGAGTAGAGTGGAAAAGAAATAAAAAGCTTTTGTCCTCACTCGTGACAGGCATTTCAAGGGCACAAAGAGAAAGAAACTACCTTTTTTAGTACACTAAACATCTTAAAAATGAAAATTCAAAACCTTTCCCATATGTGATTAGTAAGTCATGAACCAAAGCACATGTAATACATCATAACAGTGTGCCTAAGTGACTAGTTTCCCAACCAGAGGCCACATAGATCAAATGACGGATCATGTATCACCTAGAACAAATGACATTCCTGTACTTCCTTATTCTCAAATTGCATGTAAGGTGAAATAGTAATTTTTCTCCAAGTCCCTATACCCCTAACACAAAGGAGCCTGGCTTTTTAAACATTCAACAACTATTTGAAAATTAGATTGACACATTAAAAAATATCTCTGGCTGTGAATAGCAATGCATGGGGGAGGGGAGCAAAAGCAGATCCAATGATGCAAGGTGAACACCTTGGCCGCCTGAGCTTCCTCTTCAACTGTCCGTGTAGCCGCCATCAGGTACTTCTCCTTCATGGTTAGAATATCCTTGAAAAGATGGTCTCCTCTTCTCTATTGTTTTAAACAATGACATAATCAACAAAAAGACACATACATTACACCTACAGCAACACAAACGCAAAAGGACGGTGTGGGTCAGTGAAGCGAACCAGACAGAGCAGTACAGAGGAAAGCTGTTCCTTCCTAGGTCAGCAGCGGCCGTTTCTCTGGAAATTCCAGACTACGCTCCTAAAACTACTGGTTTTTTCAGAAAATCTGTAAATGCTGGTTTCCTCCTCCACAATCCCCAGCATAAAGAGAATGTAATCTCTCCATTTGAAAGGCTGCATTTTTCAGTTCAGAAATGACCTTTACTCAGTGCCGTAAACTTGAAAGCTTTGCTCTGAGGCAAGGTGAGTAAACCAACATCGGAATGTTTAAATCAAACGCCTATAACTAGGCAAAACTCACTACATAATGAAAGGGAAATAATAAAATTTTAATGCGACATTTTTGTACAGCTTTCCAAAGTGCAGAGTATACTGTTGTCAAGTCTCCTCAAGAAGGACATGCTCATGAATTTGCTGTTCAACCACAGGAGCAATCTGCCAGCATCAGAAAAGAGGAAAAGAATGAAATGAATGCAGAGATAGTCTAAGAGTATATCCTACAGGCAATACTTGAAGGTGAAAAGCAGATCGTGAAAAGAAATAAGAATGGGTGTGAGTCCCACTAGTGTCTATAAAGTTTTGAAACATGATTCTGTTTACCGTTGCACAGACATTTCATGAATGCACTGATATATAATATTTCATAATATATAATGTTTTGCAACTTTTCAACAGATCCCATCAATCTTCAAAGGTAAATCTTAAATCATTATCTTCAGAGTAATGACCTTAAACTAGACTACATATGTTCTACATTCCTTTATCAACTAAACATCCTTATTTGAGAAGTCAGTAACTAAGAAACTTAGTAGACACAGTATTACATTAGCTTCCAAATTGTCCTAAATAACAATTCCATGATACTAATTTACCTGAATACAACAATAAAATTACTCTGAAAATATTCCAAAAGTATTTTGAAATTCATAAAATTTACCTAAGAATTAGGGCAATGGATATTACATTGTTAATACTTAGTATTTTTTTTAAAAAGTTAGCAATACAAAAGAATTTATGTGGGAACATTTTCTAACGTCTGAGAATCAGCAAACAAGATGAACAACTGCAGTGCGACACGAAGCCAACAAACAGCTAGTGACATACCCCTTGTGTCTGTAGGGACAGAGGTGTGATACGTCGTTTTTCCCATTCGTTAGGGCGCGGCTCGGGTGTAGACTCCATAAAATTGCGCTTGAGCTCACTAATGCTAGCCTGGTGTTTCAGTATGTCCTCCTGGGCCTTATCCAGGTCCTAGCAACATGTAACATGACAAAGGGGATCCAGAACGGAAAAAGACCCAGCAGGGCAAAAATAGAACCAAAAAATAAGATATAAGTAAACTTATTATTCAAAAACATAATAAAGCAAGAAAATGCCGAGTCTCGAAAGCCATATTATCACCTGTGGATAGCCCTGAGTTCATAAAAATTTGAAAATGAGGCCACTGAATTATTTTACTTATATTTGAATGATTTTAATGTCTTCTCTATTTGGGGTTTTAAATTATCCCTATTAGAAGGGAACCTTGGGACTGACCATAATGGCTAACAATCTTTTTTAAATACTTGGAATTAAATAGCAGCCTATGACTTTGTTCCCACAAATTTACCTTTGTGATAAAGGTTCTTACTATATTGTACTCCGTGAATATAGCAAAAAAAAAAAAAAAAAAAAGAAGGTTAAACATAGAAGCACACACTTGGCCTGTCCAGGACCATCACCAGAAGTAGAAAAACCAAGGGGTGGCTTTGTCACGAACCCCTAGTAGTGGCTTCTAATTCTCGAGGAATAAAATAACTGCTTCCAGAGGCTTTTTATGCTTAGTCTCTCTTTAAATAAATCACATACTGGTCTCATGTAATGCCAAGAACAAAGGAGAAACCCAGCCACCTCATGAAACATGTGGTCTCTTTACAAAGATGAAAAAATCTATTAGTCCCATTTTCATTGGCCTAGGCCCCGACAAAGGTATCCAGCATATTAACAAAAAAAAAAAAAAAAAAAAAAAAAAAACTGGCTCTGGTAAGAAGTACATGTGTAATCAATGTTTAGGAATTGGAATTAACGGGATTTTAAATGTTTTCTTATACTTCAAAAATCACAGGCTGCCTGTAGATTCTAGCCCCACTCCCAAAGGCAGGTCATGCATCTGATAAAATTAGGTAATCCACAGTCATGCACAAGCATAGTAGCTCACAATGAGCTTCTATAGCCATTTGCAAAAACTCACGAAAACCTGAAACTTTTGCATGGCGTGGAGAAACGACTGGCTTGAGATCAGGCACATTTCTTGCATTTGTTCATAGCAATGTTACTTATTATACTTTACAGCATTTTAGTAAGTTAAGCAAAAATACATTTTAGCAGTTATCAAAGCTGCCAAAAGCAACCTAACAGATTAGTCAGATTCCCAAGACCTGAAGGTCTCCACTAAACACACTACACACAGCACCTTAGCATGTCCTACTCTGACATGCACTTTATAACTCCAATTTCTCATCTCCATCTCTCTCTCTCTTTCTCTCTCTCTCTCTCTTCCTTGCCTTCCACCCTCTCTCCTCTGTTCTTCCCTTCTAATCAGAACAATTCTATTAATCAGTATAGTCTCAAGAAGAATCATTTAAATGGGCCACATACCTTATCACATGATTGTACAGAGGTCAAAAAAGGGGGTCAAGTCATAGATTGAGTCAAATGAATGAGCCAATGTCAAATAAAAAATGTAATTATTCTGTGTAAAGTATATTAAAAATGGGTTCATCTTACTTCAGACTCTATAACTTAAATGTGACCTACTAGGGAAACAGGCTTACTTAGTAAAGAATAAACCTTATTTAAATACAGAGAGCTTTTCTCTCCAGCTGTCACTTTACAAACTTGAAATAGACATATCCCTACCTACACCACCTAAGAACCAAGCTGGACTGGTAGCATGCACTCCCAAGTTCGAGAACCCCATGCATTGCATGCACTGTGCTGGAAGAACGGCCAGGCAGCCTGTGCGTGACCTCCCGTCCACAGCAGCCTGGCAGCCAGAGGACAGAGTGCAGCGGTTCTTAGATCATACAAACCTCCAACATTAAATTGCTATGTCTGACATAAATATTATCCCCTTCTACTCTCAAGGTATTTTTCTGTGAAATTAAATCACACACAGGGGGAAAAAGCAAATAAATGTAAGTGTATCAATCAGCAAGTACCAGAAACAACCCAGAGTTCTATAATCTAAGGCTTAAAATAAAAGAGAATAAAAGATCTTAAAAGCCACAACAAATAAAACTCAGATAAACCCCGAAAGTACATTTCACCATCCTCTTCCATCCCACCCCCAGCCCCCCAACAAAAGGAACTGCAGGCAACAGGCACTTCTTATTTCACATAGGGAAAACAGCCACCTCCTGCAGGTATGTTTCCAGTCTTCCATCTTCCCCTGCAAAGTCACACAGCACACAGGCAGAAAGAAGGGGCTCCTTGGGAGGGCTCCACCAGCAAGGCAGAAAGAGATGCTGTGTCCAAACTTAATGGTGCAGCAGCAGTACCAGCCTTTCCTCCTGGCCCTCAGGAGACGCTACTAAGTCACTGTGGTCTTTCTTCACCTACAGTGTTGCACGGATGATGGAAATGATCCTTTGCAAGGGTGGAATGGAGAATGGAAGCTTCACTCTTTCTCAGTCCCTAGGTTATGCTCTACTTTTAAGAATTTTCCTTTTTTTAAGCAGGAATAAAAATTAAAATATGAGATTGTAAAGATGGCAAAAGCCAAGTAGCAATGCAACAATGTACAGAGAGAGATGCCAAATTTGTCTTCAGCTTTACACAGGTTGCAGATTTTACATCATTATACATTGTCCCATCAGTTTTTAAATAAAGATTTTCTTGGGGCAAAATTAGCCAATTAGTTTTTTTTTTCATATTAAACTGTGTATTTGCAAATAATCTTTAAGATATAGCCACTTCTTTCCATAAAATTTTTATACAATAGTATTCTGCAGTTGGACATTTCTCAATATTTAATGGGAAATATCTAAAGACCCCAAAGAATTAATCTGAACGCTTAAGACTAAGAAGTACTGAGTAAATGCTGACAGCAGGAAACTAATGGTAACAACAAAAACACTAGCATGAAAGGAAAATCGGCTTTCCAGGATCATCCACCCACACGACCTCTCCTGTGCTGGCCTGAGAGTGCCAAAGAGAGCTCCAAGGGCCTTGTTTGTGACTATTGAATGGTGTGCTTGACTGGTAGATGGCCATGGGTGCCTCTCTTCCCCACCTCATTCCATCAGAGGTGGAAAATGGGACACAGCTCTGTGAAGAATCAGCCTCCAATTTCTTGGTCAACAGTTAACTCACTAAAGGGTTGATCTTTGGTATTTCTCAAGTAAATGTAATGAATTACAATTTCTCCTATAATGGATACTCATCCATTTCTAATATTTTCTCTTGGGGGTTTGCTCTGAATTCTGTGATTTAATCTGTGTTAATAGAATCCCTCAGAATCAAGACACTTAATTACCAGACCACCTTGAGCAAAATAATTAAAAAATACACTGCACATGTTAAGACTGACTTCCTTGTAGTGCAAAGGTAGAACGCTTCAAAAAATCTGTCTTACACAGTGTAAAAAGTCTCAGACACCTCATTTAAAATAACAAAGCAAAACAGGCCAACCTTTAATATATAATCTACTTTCTCACACAGACTATCATCTTTCCTATAAAGTAGCTGCTGCTGACTCTTACGAGTCAGGGTAGAAGAAAGAAGATGTCGCTATAATTCATCTCTCTGGTCCCCAAATACTAAAAAGCCATCATGGAGTTTCTGAGATTCAGCTTAGAAACATCAGGAGTGTCATTTACAGACTTGGGCTCCTAAGAGCAAGTACAAGCCTGGGTTTTGATCAAGATTAGTAATACTAAGTTCTACTGATACATGTCAATTACAATTATACCAAAACATTCTATGTTTTATTTCAAAACATAAAGTTCCCATGCTTAAAGAACAGCACTAACATATATCCTCGGAACAGAGCCAGGATGAACACTTAAAGCCAATGCAGATTCCCAGCTCACACACTCCTTAACAATCTAATTATGATATTATACAACAATTTTCCCAGTTTGGTCTGAATCAGAATGTGTGTGCCTAGACTCAGGATAGTGATGCAAAGAAGTATCTACATTAATCATGTGTGTGTGTGTGTGTAAATGCGTACATACTATTTTGAGGATAGTCAGTAAAATTGATGCACAGGTTTAGACTCTATATTAGAAAGAGAATATAACAAAGAACAGTTGGGTGAACTTCAAAAAATGTAATTTATGGAGGCATGTTAGCCACTGCTTCCTCTTCCTCTGGTTTGTCATTTAAATCATAGTCATAAAAAACATGGAAGGCGGTGGCTTTCCCCTCCAGATAGCAGAGGACTAGTGCCAGAGGAAGTGAAAAGGTAAGAGAAAAGCAAACTGACTGAGAAGTTGAGAGAAGCAGCCCAAAGATGAGGATAAGTGAAGGAATGAATGAAGGTGATGTGATGGGGATATAATGTTGAACATCTGGAGGGAGAAAGGAAACCCAGAGCTTGGGGAGGCTGGGGAAAGCAAGATATCCATCTTCATCAAGAAGGGAGGGCAAGCCAGAGGCAAAGTATTTGTAAAAGTTAAAGGAAAAGTAACCAAATTCAGAATCCTTATGGTCAGCCGATTGGAAAGTCTTCTCATGGAGGGAAGAACAGTCAGGCTGTGGAGGGGCTACAACAGGCTCTAAGACAGAATCTGATGTGGCCACCTCAAGGTCGCCTTGCTCTGATGCTCCACCTGTGGATGGCAGCTCCAAGCTATCTAGTGTGGTCTGATCAGCCTCCCCAAAAGGGTCTTCCTCTGAAATGTCTGATAGCAAGTCCACTTCAGGAACTGGCAGAAGATGTGGGGAAAAAGATGAAGTACAGCAAATGAGAGGTGATGGGGGGCACATGCACACAGTCTATTTCAAGAGTAACCACAGTTGAGTATGAATCACACAATGGTCACGTTCAAAGGAACAAGAAGGACATAAGAGAAAAGAAGATACATTAGTGAAAATTTACTCCCAAGATGGTTTCATATAAACAGTGGTTAAAAAATTAACTGAGTAATCCATTTTAAGGAGGGAAACTGGAGTCCTTTTACACATACTAATGACTGAATTTCTAAGTGATGGTTAAACTTAGTTACCAACACATATATTGAGTATTGAAAGTACTAGCAAAAGCTCATATAACTAGCCATTTGCTAAAAAACAAGATTTCCTTTAGAATTTAATACAAGAACTTTTGTTGTCCAAAAAGAAATGTTTCACAATTACATATGCCAAATTAAGTAGGAAAAGCACCACAAAGCTATTTTTCAATACTACGCCTTCTTTTCAGTAGTCATTTTCTTGGGTACTCTGTAAGCATAATTTAAGATTCTGACAATTTAGCATTTGAAGACATCATGTACAACATAAATTGTGTTATCTTTAACTAAATACTTTTTAGACAAATACTTTTTCAACAAGACAATCACAAACTAATTTAATGACAAGATACAAATGATTTCCTATCACCCACTGTGTGATGCCCTGTACTGGGGCCGTGTGTCTGAGACCTCTATGCTGGCTATAGAGGATGTCACTATAAGAACTACTATTCTGGCAGATGTTTTAGCTACTATTCTGTGTAGCTTTACATTTTTTTGAAGCCAGAACTAAACTGACCCTGTAAGTCAACCAGATATGTGTGTATTATGCGCACACACATGTGCACAAGCACATAAGTGCACTTATTTGCAATGTTGCATATAAAAATTGCTTTGTGCAGGTCTGGAAATGAGATGCTCAAAAGCTCTTCTGTCAAGTGACTAACAATCAACTGAAGTGACTTTAGTAACAAAGTAACAAAACAGTGACATATTTGAGAACATCTTAACATTGGATGCTTTTTCAGTTGAGTGTATGCACGAAATACAGGCAATTACAGCACACCAAACCTGTACTCACTATCCACAGCTATGAATTCTTAACGAATTTTTTCATAAAAATTATGATTCATTTAAAATATTAAGAAAATATAAAACTCAAGGCAGGGACTTAATTTAAAACTGACTAGTAACAAAATATGCAAATTTCAAATTAACGGCTTTTACTGGTGATTCGACTGATAATAAACTAAGAAAACAGGAAACGCTAGGACACTATTTTCTTATATTAGTATAATTGACACTGAAATAAGTACTTTACTCTGAAAAATAATCAAAACATGGTTAGAAATCGCAATCCAAAATCAGCAGAAGCCTACCCATATTTAAAACTTGGGAATTTAAACCAGCAAAGGTTACAGAGTGATAATAAATTTCTCATTCTGACATACAGCCTCAGCAGAGAGCCTCTGTCTAAGCACACCTTCTCAACAGTATTAGTGCTAACGTGCCATACCTTTCCCTCAGCAAGCAGGGGTGCAGCTTTTGCTGGGCTTCTGACATCCTTCCTGCTATCTCCATCTTGTATGCTGGTATAGCTGACAGCTCCAGGGCCATGTGCTGAACCCTCTGTAGGAGGGCCAGGAAAATCCTTCATAAGACTTTGGTCCCCAACACCAATCAGAGCTAATCAGAAGATAAGTTGAAATACCTGTGAATACCTTAACTAGTGAACTGTCAAACTTTAATGAACGTATAACCCCTTAAACAAACAGTCATATGTAAGTAGCTAGAACAGTTTGAACTTTGAAAATAAAAGCAAATTGTTTAAAAAACATTGTTTTAAAACAAAACTCTACTAAGATTCTGAGTTTTTACAAACTATTTATATTCATCTATTCATCCAGCAAATTAGTTTTTTGAGCATGTAGCTCATCATGGAATTGACCAGTAGGAGGAGCTCTTGAACCAATTGCAACAGTCCAGCAGAATTACAATGTAACAATAATCTGGGGTGATTTATCAGTCCTATATCTTCCTTTGAAAACAACTAATCATTAAGATGATTTGTTTCATGGGGTTTTAAGAAATCTCCTGCAAGTTAACTTTTTATTCATACTAAAAGACTGTAGATTTAAGAATTTACCTATCTAGTATTTTTCATTTTTCTGACACTTCCGAATATCTCAACCTGACTAGGGTGTCCAAAAACCCAGCTGCTGCCCAAAAGTTGACCTTGTGCATTGCCTTGCTCTTTCTAGCACAGAGAGGTAGAAACCATAGTGCTGGATCAACTCCAGAGTCAGCAAGCACATCTAGTGACAAGTATCTCTAACAGAGGCGCCTCCTGAACAAAGGAACCACACCACCACCCCGGGTGTTTTCCTCCTAATAAAAGTCCTTTACAGACACCTGTAGCTTGCTGTTGTTCTGTATACACACACACACACACACACACACACACACACACACACACACACACACAAAATCTAGTAAACAGAAAGCCACAGACCCAGAAGCCCTTGGAGGGAGGTGTGTAAGTTCTCAGTTATCTCAGGACATCCTCTTTGTCCTACAAGTTATCTAGTAACCCACACCCTTGCCTGCCCTCAGTGTGCTTCTCCCCTAGCCTGGCTGTTGGGCCAAATGCTACTCTCCTACTTGCACCTATCTGCTGCAGTCAGGAACCTCAAATTCTAGAACATGACCCCTTAAGAGCAGCAAGTTCAACAGGACCCTTGAATATATTTTTAAACACGGTTTTTTAAGCCTCTATTTCTACACCACTTCAGCCTTTAAAACTTTTCCTATCTAAACAAAATCATTATAACATTAAAATAAGCTCACATCTTATTGCTTATTTCCCACAGCTGTTTTTTGTTTTTGAAATTTTTCTGTATTTACTAATTTTTCTATGCATACCCCTCTGACTTATTTTATAATTTTAGGCACCTTTTATATTCAAATTACCACAAAATGAGAAAAATCTGACCTAAAGGTAGTTTCAGACATACTGATGCTGAAATGAGTCAATATAAAGTTAAAAATTACAAAACCAAGTTGACAAAATGTTGACCTCACACTTTTAAACACACAGTCTAATGTGCAGTAACCAACTGGTTCTACTCCCACAAGGTGAAGATCACAGCAGCCACTGCCATGTAATCCACTCTGAGCATGCAGTCTGCCCGTTTCCTGTCCTGTCTTCTCTATCCATTCTCTTAGACCAAATGATTCTTCAAAGCTAACATTATGCTCTCGTATGCCCCCACAGACACTAAGAATGGATCCTGCAGAGTCTGACAACAACCTGGCTCTCCTAAGCTTGACTGTTCCCTCCCCTCAGAACTACCTGGGAAGGTCTATGTTCTCCTCTCTTCTCATGGCAGCCTCCATTTAGCCCTCCTAGGTCTCTGAGGTCTTCCTTCCCTGACGACAATCTTAGGTAACACAGAACCCTGTCTGCTCCTAACTTCCACTTTCAGAGCAATCACTGCTACCCCCACTTCCCAGCAAATGGTGACTTCTAGGTTCCATTTCCCAACCTCAGAGGAGTCTCACTGCTCTACAACAGCTGTTCTAGGTGATTTTTATTTTTAAGTCTTCCAATGTCACATTAAATGGTGCCTTTGCAATCACCTAACAATTTTTCTAAAGTTTAAAGGGAAGATTGTTTGCCTATCTTAAGTTGTTCAAGCCTAACTTTTAAAAGCAAACAACAAAACAAGGGAACACAACACTTGTCAGCAGTACTAAAGGAATGCTGATAAAAATGGTGAAGGAAACAAACTCTGTACTGGGTCACAGAGTAGTTTTGCTTTATTGGGGAAAAAGAACTTAAGCTGTAACCAAAGAATCACTGGTCATCCGCTCATACACCAGCATGAAAAGCCTCTTGTTTTTCTCAGCAACACAATCATCCTTTTGATGACCTGCCCATCTGGTGAATTTCAGTGGCCAAAACATAAAGGGGAAATATGGTGCCATGCTTGTTCCTTTTTCCCGTGAAAATTGTTTTCAGAAACAAATTTGGATAGCCCACAGCAGTGACTACTCAATCAAGATGGTGGGTTTACCAAAGACATGGAGCTGTAAAGAAGGTGCCCCAGCTGAACGTTTTCATTAATGCTAATACTCGTAACATGAGAGCTGTCCTGTCTCACATCTCAGAGCAAAAGCTGAAGACACTGCTCCTCATGGAGCATCAAACCTGAATACAGAATTATTTTCCTCTGAGAGCAACAACATTTTACTCATTTGGGGGGTAACTGTCTATCCCTCTAGAGGATGTCTTGCATCTTATTAACTAGATCAATTTCTGACCCCAATGGACTAGAAAAGATGAGTAGCATACAATATTATAAATGTGTTTACCTCCATCTAGGCTCCTCGAGACACGTTTACTAGAGGCACGCTCAAAGTGTGGTGCTGGTCTATCTATGAGGGTGCTTGCTTGGCGGGTCTGTGCCTGGGTGCGTCCACTGTAGCGGAATTTGGACCCCAAGGTCAAGAACTTGGCCTTAGGTGGCTGCTCTGGAGACAAAAGCCTACAAGAAAGAAAAGGAGAGAGAGAAAAAAAAGAAGATGATAAAGATTTCAGGTACATGGGGGGGGGTGTGTGTTTAAGATCTCACTTTAAATATTAGTTAAAAACAGTGCTACATAAGCTATAATAAAACATCCTTCCTATGTGGTTATATTGTTTGTTTGTTTTTTCTATTGTTTTGTTTTTGAGACCCTAGCTAGCCTCAAACTCCCTGTGCAAACCAGGCTGGCCTCTAATTCATTCACCTGTCCCTTGCTCCCAAGAGCTGGGATTAAAGTATAACACCACACCAGGTCATATGTAGTTTTATAATACTGATGTGTTCACAGATATTTTCCCCCAGCTCAAGCAAAAGAGCAGCTGTTCTGAGTGTGTATCAAGAGTATTTATTTGAGTTAGTGTAAATCATTTATGTAAACACACATGTCTGAATTTGTGCTGCTAGCTTCAAGTGTCAAGTAAAAAGCCCATTATCATTAGCAATTGTTAATATTTATGCTTCTTTCTTGTAGAGGAAAAGAACCCATCTAACTCAAGAATCTGTTCCATTAAGTAATTCTTCCCTGAGGAACAAAATTTACACAGTGATCCACAAAAATGACTAATATTCTTTTTTGCCAACATAATTCTACTGTGTAAACCTTGGGTTCATAATGCATGAATTCAAACCTTAATCATAATTTCAACAGATACACACAATGGTGTATGGTAGTAGCTCTGAGACCACTCGTTCACCTTGGACTGACTGTCTTCTGATGGGCTGAAGAGGGCAGTTTCTCTAGCTAGCAGTACTGCACAACAGCACCTCAAGAAGCAGTCACCTACAGAAATAGGAGTAACGTTGCTGACAAGCTTATTGGTGCAGCCACTGTTGGAAAAAATACTCTCTGGTACGTCACAACGACCTTTCATGTCTGAGAATGAAGTCCACTCTCAGAGACCAGTGAAGGGAAAGAGGACGTGACGTTTAAAGAGCATCAATCATGATGGGCATGATGGAGAAGCAAGCAATGATAACCTAAAGAGAAATCTCCAAAAATAATTCTGAAATTACAGATGGAATGTCTGTTTTATGGCGCTATCGGAAACATTTAAAGATCACAGATTTTCAAGAGATACACCACTAAAATGTTAGTACATTTTCTGCTTCTTCTATGAAATAAATTTACAACAATTGAAAAACTTCTCATTCTTCAGGCAACAATTTTGAAGAAAACTGAAAATCTTTCAGGTGTTTTCCCAGCTTTCCAATTACTACTTTATTTTCTGTAACTCCCTATGGACCTGTGCGAGGACCTATGCACTGTGGGTGCTTGCCTGTTTCCCACTGTCGCCTTTTACAGTCGCTAAAGTCTAGACATGGCCAAACGCCCATCTTAATGGGTTCTTGTTTGATTTTGTTTGAGGGTTTCACTACGTAGCCTGGGCTGGTCTCAAACCAAAAAACTCAGGTCTGTCCTGCCCTGTACCCTCCCGCCTCTTCCACAGTTGGGACCACGGGTAAGTGCTTTTTTAGTATTTTCCTTTCTGGTGTCACAGGGACGCAGCCTTCAGAAGTGAATAACTTCTGTGTTCTGTGTGCTGGAAATTTAGCAAAAGGAACTTGCTGTAAACCCTGTGACCTCTGGTCCATGACTCAAGTGCTAAGTCTTAGCAAAGCATTCAATAGTGTGGCTTTACAAGGCGCTTTAGAATGGACTGTTTTTGTTGTATCCCCCATACTCAATTCAAAAGGTAACTTTTCTCATTAACAGAGTCTAAGAAGACATTTAATATCCATGTCTAATGAGAAGAATGCTACACAATCAAATTTCTTCTAATTTATTTTCAGAATAACTGTCCATTAAAGCATTTTTGCATTAAATATATATATATATACAAAAATATAAATTCAAGACATACAAGGAAAATATTTAAAGGGTAAGTATCTAGTACAATTAAAAGAAAGGAAAAAATAATCAAAATGGTGTTCTTTATTTCAAATGGGATGAAATACTGTATCTGTTTGGCACTAGTAAACCAAAGCATTAGCTTACAGGTAATTTTCTAATGACAAATTCTGAAGTAATTAATTTGTAATTAAATAGAAATTAATATCAAAACAAGAAAGGATTAAACACTGGAAGTTTTCTCTAAGATAAATTTTTGGTGACTGAAATCAGAGGTAATGTAAAATAATCTTCTAAAAAACCGCCAAGGCACAACGTATTTTTGTTCAATCGCTTAATTATTTCTTTTGGTATTATTTTATTTTACACAGCAGACTGCAATAAGACCTGTGTCTTCATAAAAACCTATCAAAGCAGTGAATTACAAGACATCTATCATATTAGCGCTAATGATATGAAAACTACGAAAGGAACTTTCATGGACATCAAAAGCCTTGAGCAAAATGATCTAATTAATGATGTGCAAAAAATGATTTCAACTTTTATAAATTTGTTTGCTTAGGTAGTAAATTACTGTTTTAAATTTTATGAAATCCTACTATTATAAATCAAATATCATCAAAGCTTATCTGTGAGAAATACAGGAACCGTTATTAAAAAGCCTACATGTAAATTACTAAAGTAGTATCCACGTATCTACAAAGTTCTCTATAATGGAGCTGACAAGTTTATGTGGCAAGTGAATCCCCAGCTCTAAGAATCTACCATTTCTCTCCGACCTATGAGAACCAAGCTCTGAGGAGAACAGGAAGTGCTCACTGCAGGCAGACAGCACAGCACAGGAGGCCTGATGAATACCAGGCTGCATATCACCTAGGTTTAAATTCCATCTCCACCTGTTACTCTCGATGCGACCACCACGCCTTGTCTATCCCTGCTTTTCCATTGTGTCTTGAGTTGTAAAGATTAGAATAATCTTTGCACAGCACTTACAACAGTGGCGAGCTTTATAATGCAACCAGCAGCTTCATTATCACATTTGTGCTCTGGTAACATCAGTATATCTGATTGGTTATCAATTAAAAGACCAGTTGACTTTTAATAGTTCAGTCTGCAAGTCTGGCAATTTTATAAAAAATAATTTTCACATTTCACAATAAAAAAGCATCACGAAATCCACCGATCTGACTTACTATTCTACAAACACATTAGGATTTCCAGGCTAAATATGCTGCTTTATATAGAACTGGAAGTGCCACATAAGACTAACCATTGGCTTGTCAACCACCATCGCCAAAGTCTTCACAGTCTACTTTTAAGTGAGCTCTGTAGGACTAGCATGTCACAGAAATCTCTGGAAGGCACATAATAGAGAAAGTTGGCAGAGAAGACAGTGAGGCCATCAGGTCCCACCTCTGCTCAGGTGTCTGGCTGCTGTTCTCCTTTAAAGAAAGACACCTGCCTCTGAGTATCCAATTCCTGCAATATGAAGCAATCGACTGTGTCTAACAACAATAAACATTCAAGGAATTCCTAGCACCTGTCATTTCCAACAGGATCCTTACTGTTGCTATTGTTACTTGACAGCAAGCCTGCTATCTGTCCAGTCTAGACCTATATGACAGACAGGTGATATCTAGTTATATATACGTTAGGCCCAAGCTTCTTCAGTAAAATCTGTTTAGGTTACCAAGAAACATTATAAACTTTTCAAAAATTTCCATTATTAGTATAACTAAGTTAGACAGATTCAAATATATGTTGAATTATGTGTCTCTAAAGTTGTGTATTAGACTAGTATCAAAATAAATATTTTCTATTTCACTATAGAACCAGCAGTCATTTCTCTTAGCTACAATTGGCTTTGTATTTTAAAAAATATTAATGGCAATGATGCTAATAAGCATTATTATACACCAGAAACAGCTTATGTTTGCTTCTTATGTAAAATCTCATTTAATTTTGAAAATGAACCCATAAGGAAATAAAGGAACCCTTTATTAGCACAGGGGTAATGGAAGTAAAGCAGAGGCTGAATAACTTATCATCCGCCAGTGTGTGGCAGAACAGCATTCGATCCTAAGTCTAGAGGAAACTCTTCAACCTGTATGGCTTTGTAGACCACAATGACAAAAACAGAAGGGAGGAAAGTAACCAAACTACTTGTGAAACATTTACCCTCAAAGAAAAGTTTTAAAAAGGATAAAAAGGAGACAGAATACTAGCTAGAGTTTGGGATTGAAGGAAACTGAGGGGGGGGGGGGAGGTGTTTTTATTGTTGCTCTGTTGTTTTTTGTTTGTTTATTTGAGACCGAGTCTGACTATCTCACTGCGTAGCTCTGGCTAGCTTTGAACTCTGAATTCACTGTGTAAACAAGGCTAGTCTTGAACTCACAGTAATCTGCCCTGCCTCTACTTCCCAAATGCTGAGATTAGAAGCAGCCCAGGGATTCTTGTGAGTTTTGTTTGTTTGTGTTTTTTTTTTTTTAAAGGAAGGTGTGGCTGTGTAACTGACCAAGGAAGTCAGAGGCCTCTTTTAGAAAGGAAATTTATCAAGCTGAATCCTTTGGGGAGTGAGGAAATAAATGATCAAAGAAAAGCAAAAACTTTTACCCATTCCTTGAAAAGAAGGTTAAAAATGAAGGCGGTGAGCTGAAGTGACAACAAATTAAGAGATAAAGATGGAGCCCTCGTGACCCACACTTTCTACAGTGAACACACTGCGAGGAGAAGCTGGTATGGAAGGTTCTAGAAGATCATGAAAAATTGGGATGACAACAAGAGAGGTGAAAGGACTGGCTGGCGAGAAGCACTGATCCAACTAATGCTGGAAATCACCTCCCTGAAACAGCGTTATTTCACAAGGTTGTGAACTGAGGGCTGCTTAACAAGTTAGCCCTGACAACACAGGGACAGAAGTGGTCGCCTCGTCCAGACTGACCCAGGACAGGGAGGGGCTTCAGGAAGTTTAGATATTCTGGACAAAACAACCCACAAGAGCAATGATAGGGATCAAGCTGATTGAGAAATGTTCAGCTGGAACCTTCAGCTCAATCCTGCTGGATCTGGAAAGCCCTCCCCACCTCCCTCCCTCCCTGAGCCCCACCCTCTCAGAAAATCTCCAACAAAGAAATGGTGCCAAAAAGCCCAGTTCCGCATTCTCGAAGGCTGCAGTGGCTCCTGTCCTGAAGCTGCCAACCACCCAAGTCCCCACCTACAGCAGTCAGCTTTTGACCATATTTGAACACAAACCCAGCTTATGGAGAACACATCATTGCTCTTTACCTATAGGCTATATAACCTCTCTGCTTTAGTTCTGAAGTATGGCTTCTCCTGCCTCAGATCTGGGGCTGGAGAACCAACCCAGGTGTAAGCCTGTTCTTTTACTTTTTCAATTCAGCTTGATGTGGCTTACTGTAGCATGGGTGGAAAACCCTATTATAGCAATTCAGAAAACTTACTAAGAAAGAGGTTAAGTTCAGAACATCTGTTAAGAAAAAAATCTGAATTATAACTGAAGACAGAAAGGGTGGCAGCAGGTGGGGTTAGCATGGGGTGCTGGAGAGAGAAGGTGGCAACCAGAAGGCAGATCTAAGCAGCACAGCATGGCCCTGGACACAGAAACAACCAGCAGGAAACAGGGCCTCCAGGAGAGCACAGACACATCTACCGACTATCCTTCCACCTAACCTGGACAGGGTGCCAATGGCAATTTCACAAGATGGTTTAAAGTTACCTGTAGAAAGTGTGATGCTCCACACATACTTTCCATAGCCTTTTAGCTGCCCGATGGTTTGGCAATTTGAATCCAATGGTGCTCTCAAACTGTTCTGGCTGAAATAAATCCATAAAACAAAAATCAGCCTACAGCTAAAGCACTGGCTACATGCTACTGTAAGCAGATTCAGTCATTACTGTCAGAAATAATTCTTCTTTTAGGAAGAAAATATTAGTCTATCTCTGTAGTCAGACTGTGATACTGTTCCTATGAAAAGCAAGAGTTAACTGCCCAAGTGAACTGACTATTGGGTGCCACTAAAACACACTCTACCACTTACCTGAGAAAGTGAGCTCCCAATATGTGGGGGGTGGGGGGGTGGGTCACAAAAACATCCTTTTTATGAAAAATCTATTGGATGTGTATGTCAGCAACAAGAATGTGTGTACATAAGTTATCATCAAGAACCATGCAAGAACAAAAAAGTTTCCTTTTGCAACACTTTAGTGGCAAGAATTCATTAATCTCTCCTACTAGTAAAGGAAACACTGATAGTGCTTTAGCTATGTCAAGAATACAAGACACTGCCTACCTCTGCTGGTCTAACTTTAATGTAGAAATTACTGCGCTTATAGGAGATTTTCAGGATCTTCGGCCAAGCAAAACGATTGATTCTCAGTTTGTCTTTGTAAATGAAAAGGCCATTAGCACACACACCCAGCTTGATGTCCACGCCTTCAGAGTCCTGCCAAATATAACCCATTGACAGTGAATGACAAAGGTTACATAGACAGAGGCAAAACAACTCTCCAGCGATTGAAAATGTCAACATGTTAGTATTTAAATTTTAGTGACAGTATCTAAGCTAATTCAAGAGTAGAACATACTCATACTAAATAATTCATCTTCCGGAATTGGGGTGAATTTGCAAAGAACTATAAAAATACCATTTAAAGGAAAAATAATCTGCAAATATTAAATTTATGCATTTTCAAACTCTGCAAAGAGTTAACAGGGAAAAGGGGGGAAAGACCCATATTTATGCATCTTGAAGATACCAAAGACAAAATGTTTCCCCGGAGAAAGTTCAGCCCTCATGGACAGTCTGCTATCCTACTGCTATGCTAGCTGACAGCTGATAAAATTATACCTATATTTTGCAAAACACCAATTCACAGAAAATTTCTCTTCTGGGCTGCCAGTGTTGAAACCCCTCAATTCTTTCCAACATTTTCAACAATAAGGGCTGACATGCAGCTCTCATTAAACATGCCTTCAGTTGACATACTGCAAAGGACTAAAGACAATTTCTAAATTTATTGTTTGTTTTCTTTTCCCAGAGATTTAACTTGGAATAGATAATACAGAATAATAACAAACCTGAAAAGGTTTTATTTAGCTGCATAATGTACATAAAAAGCAGAAAGCAGACAGCTTAAAGAATGTTTAAAAAGAAGGAACAACTTTTCCTCATATTTCATGGAGCTCTTCAGCACCATGAAATACACAACATGTAAGACAGGCACCACATTCAAAGAACACAAGCAGTTACTCCTCAGGGGGCAGATGATCTCAGTCAAGACAGACAATCAACACTACTCAGAGTTGTACACAGTTGAGGAAATCAGTAACAACAAGGGGTAAATTTCCATATACACAAAGCAAAGACAAACAGCAAATAAGTCTATGTTCATAATGTTTTGATGGTGCCATTACTAAGAATGATCTAACATAATTTACAGTTTTTTGTTTTCAAAATAAAAGTACAGTATAGACAACTAATGATAATTCCATTACCCACTGTGATACTTAATTCAAATACAAATACACAAATAAAATTACATTACACCACACTGAGCAGTTTTTGAAACACTGGGATGTCGATATGGCATAGCCAATACTACACTTGCTGCAAAAGCCTGATGACCTTAGTCCAATCCCCAGAACCAAGTAAAGGGAGATAGAAAAATTCAGCTGCACATAGTTGTCTCGGATCTTGACATGCACCATGGAATGTGCACCATAGCATATGCATGCCCACTTACATATCAAATACGTAACACTGAAAAAATTCTAAAAACTTAAAATAGGCAAAACTCTATTCTCTGATACTCTGGCAGCCTCAACTCTCTCTAGGAATAGCAGATAAAGCTGGGTAAGTTAGACATAGGTGCCCAAACTAGTTGGCACCAAGCTCAAAGTATGTTTTTCCCAAAAGCATCACTACCCCTGACCAAGGGAGAGGGCACGAGATGGCAGAAAATGGCATGTTCCCACCATAGTTAAGAAGGCAGCATTCATTGCAAACACTAACAAAGCCAGCTCCATCTAGTGTGAAGAAATCTTCATAAAGGACAAAGAAGTATTTCTATTTTACTTAAAAAGAAACCTACCTGTATTCAAGCAAATCGGTGTAGGTTTGGCTGGCTGACACAGTTGTTCTAAATTACAGAATTACTGACAAAGAGCATGAAGTGAAAGGAGGAAAAGTGTTTCTTCATTCTCCCATGTCTGAGCTATGCCATTCAGCAACAATAAAAAACAGTTGACTACAAAAACAACCTCCATTGATAGGCAGCGGTGGCGTACACCTTTAATCCCAGCACCTGGGAGGCAGGGGCAGGCGGATCTCTGGGAGTTCGAGGCCAGCTTGGTCTACAGAGTGAGTTCCAGGACAAGCCCGAAGTGATAAACCCTGTGTGTGTGTGTGGGGGGGGGGGGGGGGGGAGGAGAGGATACTCTCTGCCCTTCAGAAAACTGCCATTGTGGAAGGTGTTTGAGATGTTAAAGGATTTTTTCCCTAGATCAAGGAGAAGGAGGGAAGGAGGTCAAGGGTTAAGTACACAGGCTCCTCCCTGTGTGGTCACATCAGCTAGCTGATTCTAATAGTGGTTCCTCTGAAAACAATCCCCTCCAAACCAGCTTTCTGCTGAGATTCTGGCAGCCACTCTGCCTTCCACCCTTCAGAACTAGAGGGTGCAGGAGGGCTACTGACACCATTTCAGGGTACCTGTTACTCTGTGCTTTCATGCCCCTTTGTCAAGACTTTCCACTCAACACTCCTGAACATCTCCTAACTGGAGTTTGCTATCTTAATGCCTCAAAAAGGAAGAAGAACGTGAGTTCGAGATAATGAAAATTGTTTTATGAAAATAAAATTTTACATGGCACACTCTTTAAAACTGCTACAGGATTTCTTTCCACAAGCCACAAATATACTGAATATTAACTTATTCCAACAGATGATAAACAGAAAGAATAATGAGTGTTTTTACTGTTCTGCCCCTAACTGTACAGCAAACCTGACATTATATCCATGATCAAGCTTACCTTTTAACACTCCAATATTAGAGAAAACAATCCTGATCCTTTGTAGTTATTCCCTAAGAACTGGTTTTTACTTAATGATCTACAAAGTAAGGAAACAGAACAGCGCATACAGTGAAGGTGTAAGGTGTATTCATTGGAAGAGTATTTGCCTACTATGGCTAGGGCCATGGGTTCAATCCTTAGTCTTCCTACCCTCTCAAGAAAATTATATAAAGCAAAATTAACAGAAATTAAAGAAAAAAGAGGGGAGAATCTCTTTGGTTTCAAACCTATCCTCTCTCATCCTTTGTTTCTTCGATAATCAAAAGAGGAACCGAGGGAAAAGCAAAAAGCACTCCAACATCAGAGGCAGAGGCAGAAAGATCTCTGAGTTCAAGGTCAGCCTGGTCTATAGAGTGAGTTCCAGGACAGCTAAGGCTGATATACAGAGAAATTTTGTCTCAAAAAATGAAAAAAGAAAGAAGGAGGAAGAAAAAGGAAGAAGAAGAAAGGAAGGAGGAGGAAGAAGAAGGAGGAGGGGGAAGGGGAAGGAAGAGGAGGAGGAAGGAGAACAACAACAACCAACAAAGAAGGACAATGATGCCGGGCAGTGGTGGCGCACGCCTTTAATCCCAGCACTCGGGAGGCAGAGGCAGGCGGATCTCTGTGAGTTCGAGGCCAGCCTGGTCTACAAGAGCTAGTTCCAGGACAGGCTCCAAAACCACAGAGAAACCCTGTCTCGAAAAACCAAAAAAAGAAAAGAAAAGAAAAGAAGAGAGAGAGAGAGAGAGAGA